TGATGGCATCTTTGTTTAAGATGCTAAGAGTTTGGCTTGTGGCAAGATGGCAGGAAGAAGATGCCAAATATGACCCAAAAAAATGAAGAGCGAGTCTGGGACTAACACTCAGTTTATGCCAAACATTAATATTTGGCATACTATTCTGGAGATTTTCATAATTTGATCAGGGAGAATTTGACTAATTTTAATGTTATACTGACTTTTTTGTCAAAGGGCACTGGGTTCATTTGTAATTCCGGTATGTCAGCAGTTGTTTTAACAGAGATGTTATTTTATCGCTGCTGTAAAATGTTGTGAAGTGTTTATTAATCAGAGTCACTTGTGAAATTAAGGCTTCATTGACATTCTGGTGTTTAAGGCATTTCAATCACCGAAGGAATTTTAATGAGATGTGGCACGTAGTTCTCAGTCCAATAAAATATCAAATGTGTGAGGCAGAAGGAGAGAGTCTGTGCATCCACATACCGAGCTGACCCATCCAGAAAGTGGGTGAAAATCCTCATGGCTGTTAATCTAGGGACTAACGCCAATCACTGGGACATGTTGTTAGCTACAAACTTCCTCTAACAGCATAAGAGGATCATTGACGCACAAGATTGAGCCTAATTTCTCACTTGCTCTCTCTTCTCTCCCTATGAGTTGGAAAGGTTTCATACATCTGTTCTGTTTCCTGTGTAAACTAATGATGGCGTTCACTGTGCTTTAACACACAGTGAAATACTTATTAGTCTAACGACGTCCTTACTTTGTGTTTCAGACCCTCAATCCCAAATGGAACGAGGAATTCTACTTCAGAGTGAGTTCATGATGTGTCAGATTCCCTTTCTTCCCAATATCCTTCGCTATGGTGGTCTGTTATTGCACTTGTTTACTCTAGAGTGGTAGTGTTAGAGTTGTTAATCTTTGGTTGCAGTTTAACTGAGAGCTGAGTCCCACCTCCTCCACCACTGTAACCAAACAGACCATATTAGACTTCAGAAGCCTAGCCACATGTGTATGATTATTCCCCACTGGTTATTTATGAAGGAATTATAGTTTTGTTCTGTTATGATAAGAATATTGACTATTTTCTAGCCGTATTTCTGTGTTTTTTTTTTTGTTGATGCAAGAGCAAAGCAGTTGCATACAAACTGTTTGCATGTACATCTGCATTGGCTTTGCATACGTTGACACTGTATGACTGCTGTATTATTTCTTATTTTGTCGCCAACACAGGTTTGTCCGCAGAATCACAGGCTACTCTTTGAGGTGTTTGATGAGAACAGATTGGTAAGATTCACATTTCATAACCTCTTACCCTTCACTCCCTCTGTTGTATCACACATTATTTTTAATTTCAGTATGTCTTGTCTGTCAGCTGTTGATTTATTCAGTTCCACCCACCGTAATCCTCATGCCTCTTTTAATTTACATCCAGTTCGTTTCTACTTCAAACTGTTTAGACATTGGTAATGAGCTTTCCAGTAGTACTTTCTTTTATGGTTTTCTCTCAATTATGCCATTAAAACATTGATGTGCCACCAAACATAATGTGATGATTATAAAACTGACATTGCTGCGCACCTTTCCAAGCCATTTTCTCAGAATAGATCTGCTTTCATGTCGCCACAGGGATCTTCAGCAACCTGAAATGAATTGTATTGACTCTATCCGCACCCTCATGTATGCACAATCTTCTTCTTGAGAACTCTCTGACACATTGCTAGATTTGATATCACAGGATTTCACTCTAGCAAAAGGAACACATTGCAGTACATGTGGAAGAAAAGTTAACAGAGGCCGTATATGGCCTGTTTTGTCTGCTAGTTTCATTGCTTTGCTTTAAGGCTGTAAGTAGTGTAGTGTCCACTAACAACTACTACATTCATCTTATGTCAAATTTCTCAGATTTCCTCCACAGACCAGAACACTAGCTGCCTTGACTTGTGAAATTAAGCTCATTGTAGGCCCTCAGTTGCCATGGCAACTAGATTAAATTTCTGTACAATGTCAAGAATTGCAGCAATTAATAACAGCACTTGATAATCAGTTCACTAATTCATGCTTATGTATCATCTTCACCTTGAAGAACCATCTTCACAGGTGAGTGAAGTGGTTCTTGACATAATGAAGACATTGTTCTGTGGAAGAAGCAACTATTTCCCTGAAAGGGGTTAGGACTGCTGTGGTATTTGTTTCTAATGACTTCTCAGTAACTCTGCGGTCTGTATCTTGAGTCTGATGTTTGATAAAACAAACATCAGATGCAGTCCAAGATTGTATTGATGTTTTTGGCTGGATAAGGGGCATCCTGTCTGGGCTTCCAAGGTTATGGGCTACTGCTTTTGTCCATGGACCAATGTGGGAGGCTGAAAGATTTGGGCTTGTGGAGTGCATTTTTGTGACACCACATCCTGTAGTTTTCCTGATAATGTAATCAATTTACGATATGGGTATATGTATAGGTACATTGTATGATTAAATCTAATTTAGTCTCTTTAATCTTCATGTTTCATGTACTGATAAAATCAGTGCATACATTGGTGCATGTTGTGTGTGCATGTTCTACACGCCCCTGCAGAGGGGAATGGTGGGCTCTCAGCCCTCTAAGAAAAGGGCAGCTGAAATCTTTACCTCAGTACAGTGGAAGCTCTCTGTTGCTATATAGAAGAGGATGACATGAGAAAGCACAGCACAGGCAGCCTCAAGCCCTGTCCTCTCCTTATATGTCTGAGGAGGTGCTTTTCTGTCTATCTCTAGGTGCATGCCAAGAGAGCTTCTCCACCACTGGCCTGTATTTCTTTGAAGGGGCTGCTTGTTCTCTTGCATCCATTAATTTATGGTTTATTTGTCAGGAGAGATGAAAAGTTTGACCAAGCTTTGCGCTATAGCACATACAAGAGATTGTGGTTTACTTGTGTGTACTAAATGTCAGCTAATGTAGCTACAAAATATAGGAGACTTAATACAGAATGTAAAGAAAGAATAGGCCTACAATAGTACAGTGTAGTGCTTTGTTTGAAGCATGAATGTTATGTCATTTGGCAAGCTGGGCTTATTGCCATTGGACCACACATTGGCATTTTGTTTCTCTTCTACAGAACATTCTCCATAACATTTCACACACACGTTTATTGACTGTGCCTAACGCTGTAGGCAGTGTGTCATCACACAAGTGTAACCGGCTGCCAAGCCACGATTTCTTCTTGCTCTACAGTCCTTTTTTTTTTCCTTTTTGCTCTGTCTCCTTGATGCCCTCTTGTCCACAAAGGAGAACTTTCATTTTTTGTTTTCTCCTTTTGTTCCATTTCTCACTGTGATGCACCATCAGTGGCTCAGCTGTCAACTTTTATGCAGCTTGCTTTATGAAACAGATATGGTGACGCACTGAGGGCTAAACCATAGGTCGAACCAGTCAGATGTTGGAATGGCTTTTTGGGCGAAAAAGTTCTGAAAGGCCAAACTGTAATAGGGGTCAGTTCTGTGCATGGAGGCAGACTACTCCCCCACAAACTCTGGCGTCAGGGCAAAGTAGCATAGAAACCCCCATTTTCACATGCTGATCCAATGGTGAATTACTTTGCTGCCAAAAAGTATAAAAATGCTCTCATCAATGTACAGTATGTTGTGAAAACGTGTCTCTCTGTTTTACTTCGTACTGTAGCCAAATAGTATATTACAAGTGCTTAAGCTCATAATGTGTGTGCCTAATTTCAGCATTGCAGACTAGGATCACAGCTGAGTTGTATCTTGGGCGGTTTTTGGATGCAAACACAGTGGCCTATAAAACCACCAGACAGTCAAGTGTTTGGCTGTGTACTGGAGACAGCGTAGTCTATTCCGTTTGAAGAAGACTTGGATATCTTTCTCCAGAGAGGAACGTGCTGTTTGCTTTATCAAAGCTGCAATCTGTCAGATATTCTGCTCTTCACTCTGCTGCTGCCCTTTTTTTCTGGTCCATTTTTAGCAACAACTTCCTTATGCTTCTTTTTTTGTTTCCAAGGTACAAGAAGTAACAGGGCACAATTTGTCCTCCAGATTTGTACGGAAATTTTAACATTTTTAGAGGGGCAATTCAACAAGGAAATTTTACTTACTGTTTTTTTCTACTCGTTGAAAAAGATTGTGTGTTTGTATACAACAGATCTATGGATCTGTTTATTCCATCGCTTTTTCTTCTTTTGTTCTCTACCTTCCCCCTGCAGGTGTCCAATGGTGCGATGCTCAGGCAGAGCTATAACTGAAAGGGTGATGTTATGGCCTTAAGTTATTCCATTAATAAAGAGTGTAGAGGGGGAAGGTCATATTTACAATTTTAAGATAAGTTATTTTAGTTTATCAACATCTTTGATGATAAAGGAAGATATTTAGTGCTACTAGAAGAGCTGAACTGAGCTACATGCAGATACAATGATAGCAATTTTAGGTAACGGAATTAAGTGGTAGATGTCAAAATTAAGAGGAAACTTATTAGGGTTAAAAACTACTAGGTAGGGAAATGGGCAGGGGTTAGAAAGAGATCATGTTTTGGAGGAAGTGATGGACAGTGGTACGTAGGATGTGTTTAGGATGGCCAGTTGGCACTTGAGGGCAGCATGGGGTTGCAACACGAGGTGGTGGGGCCATTTGTAGTCACATGACTAGCAAGAAACCCACTGTCACCTCGGAAACCAGGAGCGCCGGCCGCTCTTATCCAATCATGTCAGGAATGCTGACCGTCACTCGGCTCAGGCTATTTCTGCTGTCTGTCGCTAGTGCTTGGTAGTGCTAAGAGTCTGGCATACAGGGATCCTTCTATTTTTTTTTTTTTCCTTTCCCCCCCTCACCCTTCCTCTCTTTAGCCTCCACTCTGCCATTCCTTTGACTGCGTAGTGTAAAGTTGTCAGCTCTTTTGCAGTGACAGTCTAGTTTTTGTGGTGTGACTTCTTTCTCTGAACAGTTTACTGTGGGTAGGAAAGTTGTGGAGGAGACTCTGAGAGTTTGGGAGGAGGGTGGGAGGGGGGGCGAGAGAGAGTGGAAGAAAAAAAAAGGGGGGGATCAGTCATCTAGCCAGCCAAAGGAGAGAAGTGGGCGACACTAAGAGACCGAGACGGGAGCCAGAGGAGAGAACCAAACAGCCAGTCGGAGTGAAAGTGAGAGGGAACGGGAGCTGTGGGACGTGAGGTGAAAATGGCACAACGTCTGCGTTTGTATTTTGGCTCAGGCCGCAGTAACACAGCCCCGGAGATACTAGAAGGAGACTCCGAGGAGCAGCAGGGAGACAACGATGTGGTCACGCCACTTCGCATGCAGTCTCCTCTGGTATCGAGGCCTTCTCAGGAGCCAGCTGCGCAGCATGGCCCACCAAGAGCTTTCGGTACGCGGTCGGAGCCTTCACTTAAACGCAGCTCCTCCATGTTCATACCTCAGCTCGCCGCCTACGCTGAGCCACGGCCCACCAAGAGCTCCTCCATGCACATCTCCCTCCAGCGCTCCAATGGATCGAGTAATGGAGATTTCCGTGGTCATGCCGATGATGTCCCGCCACCCTGTTATACTCCTCCAGGACCTGCTCCTGCCTATCCCGAACCACAGATCGGAGCAGACGTTCCGCAACATCCGCCTCCTCCATACTACAGCCCAGAATCTTTAAACTCGCAAGCTTTTCTGACAGAGCCGGACCTTCCCAAACGCAGGGTCTTTAGTATTGGTTCCAATGGCCATACTGTGTATAGCAGAGGCCAACCTGGTATCAGTGTTGGTGGTATTTGTATCCAGAGGAACTCTCTTGATGGTTCTGATATCCAGCATTTCAGAATTCTCCCTTATGGTGGCACTGGCTGGTCTGTCCAGCAGCCGAACTTGGACCAGTGCTCTGTTGTTAATGGTGGAACACAGAGACTAGTGTTTCAGCTCCAGCAAAATCAGAACCAGGATCAGACCCAGGGCAGGCAACAAGCTGCTACATCCCAGGAAGAATGCACAGATGTTGGCTTTATCAGCTCAAGAGGTAGCGGCATGGTGCGATACCCGAGAATTCGACTGGAGAGAAGCTCATCTCATCAGAGGCTGTTGCCGGAGAATCAACACAATATAACTGGTGGAGAAAGCCAAGCTATAGAGGAGACCCAAACAGACATGGAGACACAGAGAATGGAAGGAAGAAACAGATCTAATGGTTGTACTTTCAAAATCAGTGGGGATACTTCCAGAAGGCAGCCTCATTTCAAGATATATTTTACCCCAGGTGGAGGTGGAGATCAGGTTGTGAGCCTTGGCAATGATTCGACAAGGAATAATCCCAAGGTAAAGATTGTAGGAAAGCTTTAGTAGACTGTTGGTGAAAAAGTTTTTAAGTTTAAAAAGATTTTGTAAATATTATGGCAATTGAAAATTAGACTTGCAAGGTTTTAGTTTTAAAGATGATGAAATTAATTTGAGAAAGCATAGTGAACACTTACAACAAATAGTGGATGGGTCAATGCGCTCATATGACATTTAGTTGAACACATGATAGCTTTTATGTAGTGCAGCTGGAAGAAGGGGGGGGGGGCATCTAATAGGGCCATGGACAGAACAAATGAAAATCAGGGTGAAATTTAAATCTACCTACCTAAATTGTGGATGTCTGAAGTATTTCACATCAAATTCGCAAAGTTAGTAGTATTTCTCTTATTTAACCCGCTGAATCCAGCCTAGATGAGGAGCGGTCCGTACGGTGCAGGAAGAGGGTGGTGACATTCTGGGAAGTGAAAAGCACAGACATGGTTTCAGAGCTAAATCACACACACTGGCTTCCTTTCACTTCACAACCACAGGCATTTGAAATTTTACACACATCGGCCAATTCACTCATGAAAGGAAAACAGGAACAGTCTTATGGATGAATGGATAATTTCTCCCTGTGTACTTGTTGCCTTCTGTTTCGCAGAAATGTGACACTTAAGTTTGGTAATACCCTTAACTGCAGCCAGTGCTCTTTGAGAGTTGGCTGTTTCTATCTTTAGTCTGTTTCGAGCGTGGTTGTTGATTTTGAGAGTGGGCAGGCGGCATGTCTTCTTTGGCTCTGGGCTGGTATGGATCTGTATCCTCGCAGCTGCTCCATGAGTGATTAAGAACTAAGATGTCGTTATGGCCCAAATGACGATCGGGAAGTTTAACACGCTATCAGTATCTTGAAATGCCTGAAAGCTTGAAGTCTTTTGATGTTGCTGTCTGTTCTCCTATCATGTATAGCTCAAGCTTTGGAAGCAAAACAAACGTAAAGGTTGCACTTTTATAATCAGTGTGTCATATTACCTAATTTGTCATTCACAAGATTCTTCTGAAATCATTTTAGACTTTTCAACAGCAGTACGTTCTGTACCCCTCTTTTTTTGTATAAACTGAAACCTGAAGTTGCTATTAATAACAATAATATATAGTAGATATTTAAGTAATGGGGCTGTCATTGACTATATGAGCCTTACTCCCAGTAGATTCTCATAAAGACTCAGGAGTCTTCATGGATTAATAACTAAGACACACAGCCACTAAGCGTGAGCCTGGCTGTTCACATCAGAGGTGCATTCCTCGGTGGCAGTCAACAAGCAATTCTGCTCCTCTGCTCTTGTCTAATCAAACATCGAACTGATCTTGTCTCATGAATTATGGGTGTCAATTTTTCTGCTACAGTTAAAAGTGCAGAAGTTAAAAGGACCATCTTGTGGTGATTGCCTGCCTGTGTACATGTCTGCTTGTGCTTCACTCTCTGTTTAGACAAAACTGACAAATATGGGGAATAAGTACATAATTATATTTCATCATCTGTGGGGGAAAAAAAACCTGGGGGAATTGAAACTAGAAATTAACAGTGGGGAGGGAGAGAAATATATTGGGGTTGGCAATATTAAAAAAGGGATATTTCATAATTTATCAGAATTATATCACTTAATATATTTTATGTCATTTATAATATATTATTTGTGTCTTTTCTTGCCAGATTCGCTTGTTGTTCGTGGAAAAAACGTATATGGTTCATGAGGATTTTGCTATGTCAGGCTTTTATTTACATGAATATAACTTTTGATAAAACAGTTACTCCTGCCTTCCTGACAGTTAAGGCTAGATAATAAGGATATCTGCAGTATGCTATGAATTGCTACTCTTGATTTTAAATGTTATAAATCCAAGATGGTCTAAGATTGGTAAAATATTTCTGGCTTTGGTTGTTCTTCACTAGCGCATCAACAATCTTAATATATTTTTAGTCATGGTTTTGACAGCACTTAGGCCATACTTGAATGTGTTTTACACACCTTCTCCTATCCCTTTTTAAGGCACACGGTGTTGTGTTACCCCAGGGCTTCCCGTTTCTCATGCAACAAGGAAATCCTCATTTAGACCATAATGACAGGTCTTCCCCAACTGGTTGCCTGGAGTTGGTGTGCCCCTTTTTAAAGCCCTGCATTGGATACTACGAGTGTATGTTTTGTGTGTGTGAGTGTCTGTGTGTGTGCCAGCTAGACTATCTGCAGACAGCTATGCCACCGTGCCATGCCCTCGTTACAGTTCTGCCTCGACGTCCCCCTGTTGCCATTCACAAAGAGCTCTTACAGGCCACTGGGTTTGCTATATTTACCTGAGATGGGATTGTGGATGGATTGGGGGGGGGGGTGTTCTCTTTTTATTTTGGTCCAGTAGCATGTGAAAGGGATTCATATTGCTATTGTTGTGAAGGGCTTTTCTCTGTCAGCTCTGGTCTAGAGTTGCATTGCATTGTAATTCAGTTGTGTCAGCACGGAGACTGTTGAGTAGGTGAGACAACCTTTTCACACTTCAGTGCCAGGCTGGACTTGTTCCAGGTCGCTCTATATCATAAACTCTCAGTCCGTTACCTCTTCTTCATGCATGGCAGTTCAGTACGGCTACAGTTAGCATTGCAAGTTGTTATCACTTACCTCTTGTGGTGTTCAGGCTTGTTGATAGATTTGGTTTTATTTGTTCAGGTCCAATATGAATCAATGGAATTTGATTGGTGGTGCAGCATTAAAAACAAATAAAGAGCAACGCCTTTCTCCATAAACAATGTCTTTGAAAGCTATTGATAATGTGTTCTATGGATTACCAGAGTAACAGGGACAGGAATGTTGCTGTTGACTTTCATTTTTCAATTCTCTGAGCACCACAAATTAAATTACATTCACCTCCAATGGTTGCGTAGTGGCAGAATTCTCAGAAACAAATACAAAACTTTAAACTATGTGCATACAACTACAAGTATGTGAGAAGTACGTTTTTTGTGTTTTGGTTGAATTGACCTATTTGTGTTTTATTGTATAACCTTTTTTAAACTAGCTTCCCCCTTCCGCCTCATGGCTCATGAACTCATCATCCCTCCTCCTCCTCCTTGTGGTCGTTAGTGGCACCCTCCCTCTCTGAGCGTAACCTGGCCCTGGGAGGCAGCTGCAGGCTCAACTGTGACCCCTTGATGACTCTGCAATTATATCCCTCTGCATACACATACCCACAGCTTAAAATGCTTGTTATTGTTGAGGACAGAAAAAAACAGCCGCATGTCCCAGGCGTATGTGTCCCATGGGATACTGCCATTGCCACTGAATGTTTTACAGGTTAGCTACACTATTTGCTGTAGGTTCAAGCATGTTAGAAAATGAGATTTCCAGGCGAATATTAAATCTCGTAGTGACTCATCAGTGCTGAAAGTTTTGGCAGGCTTGCAAGATTAATTGTAATTCTAAACTTTATTTATAAAGCTCTTTTCAAAACAAAGTTACGATGTGTTTCCAAAATTCACATTGTAGGTTCCAGAACAACACACGAAAATAGTGTCATATGATACTGTCGTACTTATTCTGCGGTCCAGGTTTGTTTTGTTGCTCTCTCCTAGTTCAGATTAAGCTTACTTGGGAGTTATGCAAACAATAAATTAACTGTCTAGTTGGTTTGGGAAATGAAAGCAGACACTGCTGTAACTTACACAGTAGTGACTCTGGCTTTTCCAAGAAGAAATTGTTTAAAGTGTATGTGTGTGTGTTTGTGACAGTGTAGGTGTATGTGAAAGAGACAGGGAGAGGGAGTACACATGCATTCACGAGTGTCTGTTTACGTGCCTGTGCATTAATAACTCAGTGTTTTCATGTGACTCATTTGTAACCTTTCACCATTGAATTCCAGGCCTGATAACTGCGGCGGTAGCCCAGTGCACTCTCTTCCCAACACTGCTTTTATTTTTTCCCTCTGATGATCAGAATAAACCGTGTGATTGCTGTATATCTTAACCTTGTATCAGTGTGAAAAACTGGGACTTGGTCAGCATAGTTGTAAGATATTACCAACCGTGCTGGTGTACAATTGCTAAAGCCTTAAGTTTTTGTTGTTTTTACTAGATTACTTGACTTACTGACATTCCAAAGCTACTTTTGATAAGATAAAAGAAAGTGCTATGGATTAAAGAAGTGGTTTTTGAACCTATTTTCATGTGCACGTTTTCTTTAAAACTCTTCTTTTCTGACTCAAATTTAAAAAGGGACCACAATATCATTAAAAGTTCAGTTGGAAATCGTTTCCATAACTCAATATTGAATTTTTATGACTGCGCTACTTTTGTGCAGCAGTGGAGCAACTTTTACAGATGCCACAACATTTCTTCTGTTGTGCGTTAAAACCTCAAAAATGAAATTAAAGAAATTTCTTTAAAAGAAACCTTGTGTGCAGTGTACAGAGACTGCCAGGTTGCTCTTTTATTCAGAGACTCTTCAGTTGACAACAGTGGGGTAATTTTTGTTTTTTTGTTGACCCATTAAGTTAACTCAAACTGAAAAACAGTATCACATATTGTGTACACTCAGCCTTTCCTGTCAAACCAGTGTCTACAAACAAACATCATTGTTAGTTTAATGCCTGTTGTCTAAATCGGTTGTGTCCCACACACAGGCTTCTACCAAGAATGGCCTTTTCCATCTCACACAGGTAATCACTGCTGGGGGCTGCTGCTTTGCAGCCCAATCATCCGTCAATCTCCCCCTTTTCCTCCGAGTCTGCATTAATTTTGACAAAAGGACGGACAAATCTACGGGCCTCTTTAATCTGAAACACAAACCTTCCCTAGTTCTCCCCTGTTGTGACTGCTGTCCTTCTCTCCCTCTGTCTGGCTGACTTGGCTTCAATCTGGTGGCGGTGGATGTTATTTTTCCTTGCTGGGCTCACGGGTTCTTCTCCTATGAAATGATACCAAAGGCCTGTCCAGAAATAAAACCCTAGACTCAGCCTTTCTTCCTGGACACTTCTGGAAATCTGTGCCAATTGGCAGAGAAGATAAGCCACAACAAACTAGAGCAAATATTGTATGATCATTTCAGAAACATATGGAAGAAATTGCTCAAATGTAATTGCACTTTATGGTTTGGCAACCATTTAAAATGACTACAGGTGTCCATAAAAAAGGTTAGCGGTTATTTCTGGATGGAGCTGTCCATGAAATTAAAATAGTTGTCTCTTTCACTCTGATAAATACACACAAAATGGACTTTTGGGTGCATTAGGTTATTCACCTCGACATTGTGGTTTTTCCCCTCACTTCCCCTGCTGGAAATTTTGGTATTCCCAAAACACACTCAAAAACCTGCTGCATCTAAAATTAAGCTGCTGAAGATGACCACCTTCTTTTCTTTTCTTTTCTAGACCAGAGATGATTTCCTGGGACAAGTTGATGTTCCTCTCAGTCATTTGCCGGTGAGTTATTTGCATGTATGTGTGTGTGTGTGTCTAGGCTGACTGTTATAACCCTATTTTGAATACTCAGCTGTTTCTTATCTTCGGTTTTGCTCCACTTGATAAACCTCTGTGAAGGTCAGAAAAAGAGTGGTTTTTTATTTGTTGTGTCTGTCTTGAGTGTGAGAAAGTGCTAGCCACACAAATACTGTGTTGTTGTGATCAAACAGCACACTGCTGCTTGTTAGAAAAGAAAAGCTGTCTGTCTAGAATGTAAACAGAGGTGACTGTCCTGAGGGCGGACTGCTTCTCAATGGAAAAAGCTACGTTTGTCAAATTCACACACTCGCATGTACTCGCTTGGAAACTGTGGACTGCTGGGAGATAACAGCTTTTGTAAACAATAACATGCAGAACCAGTGTGTGCTGCTTGGCAGTTTTTACTGTTTAGGTTTCACGTGAACAGGACCTGAAACACAAACAAAAAGACCTACAGATCATTCTAAAGCAGCACCTTCTCGACTTAGTTGAGAGCTGTGCTGCTGCTGCTGCTCTGTCTAAGCTGTGAAGCTTTTAAAAGCATATCAGTAAAATGTGTTGGGGTTAATTATTAATGTCCTATTTCGCTCCCATAGGTCCAGGAAATTAGCAGCAGATAAAAGCCAAAACTGAGTCGTGTTGAGAGTTGAAGTCAGTGGATGGGATAGTGAATGTTTGGTCCTGATGCAGCTAATGCTGAAATGCTTAATGTAGCCATTGAACCAATTGAGCTGAGCATGAATAAGAGACTGCAATGCTTGTATAGATGATGTCATCTGCGTCATATGTGTGTTTTCATTAGATTCATTTATTTTCATGTATGACTGCATGTCGTAGGAATTGCAGTCTTATTCATAGTTACTGGACATTACTTTAGTCATCACCTTACTTTCTATAGCAGCTTCTTCTAAATACTCCTCTTTTACATTTCATTAATCAGGTCAGCCATGCTGAGTCATCTACAGCAATCTGGTAGTTAGATTTGCCTTTTGGAAGCTTCTGTTACTTCAACTTTTTCCACAGTTTCATGCACCAAAAAGCATGAAACCGAGGTGAAAGATGATGTACCTAGCCCTGTTTTACACTAGTCACACATAATATGTTGCTACAGGCTATTAACAGCAATGTTTTCATTTACAAATCTTCAATATCAATTCTTAATGTCCAATATGTTGAGCACAGTTTGAGCCAAACAGCTTTGTCACATCTCATATTATTATTATTTTTTATACAACACTTGCACTGAAGATTGTAATTTTTGTATGGAAACTGTCAGAATCAGTAATATGTTACAGAGCAGTATGTGGTGAGCAGCCAGTCTGGACTGGTTTGGCTATAAAGCAGTGGGAGATTGCTGTGAATTACAAAAGACCTTTTTGCTGTTCAATATGTAACAGGATAGGCTCACTGTTGCATAATGATCCTGGGATGGTTGTGCGGAGGGTTCCAGGCGTGTTGCAAACTCATGACTCTGATATTTTGATACTCTAACGTGTATTTACTTTTGTATTCAATTGATTACGATCAACAAATGCCTCCTCTTAATTTGCAGACAGAGGACCCTGCTATGGAGCGTCCCTACACATTTAAAGACTTCCTCTTGCGCCCCAGAAGGTCAGTTTCTACCGGATATAAATGTGTAACAGTATGTGGCAAGTAAACAGTGAAATTAGATACAAGTAACATATCTCAGGTTAAATTGTGTCTGGTATGCCCCCATTAGCAAGTGGAATAGACACTGACAGATTATTAAACTTAAAGTGACTTTAATTATGATTTGCAGCACTATGTAGACTGGTTTCATGTCTGCAGCGAGCAGTTAAGTTCATGTGACGGTCAGTTGAACACTGAAGGTGAAAGACCATCTGCTGCTAATAGGCAGTTTGGAAACTAACCTGCATTTCAAAGCATTAACCTAATAGGGGCTATGAGGGTGCCGGCTACCTGGTTATGATGTGCTGCTTTCAACCGGGGCCATTTTTGCTGATGTTATCCTTCTAGTCACAAGTCCAGGGTGAAGGGTTACCTACGTTTGAAGATGGCCTATCTGCCAAAACTAGGAGGACCAGAGGAGGAGGCTGGAGAGATGAGGGAGGAGGCTGAGGTAAGGTCCTGGCGACCGTTGTTGCCAAGTTTGTTTTAACTGCTGACTTAGCATTACCTTAGGCATCCTTTTGACTGTCTTGTACACAATAACCTGAAGCCAAAACCGGTTGTAGATTTATTCCTTCCACACAAAGAAAACACAGTTCTAAGCTTAAAGATGAAGGCCAGTTTCTCAATTTGGACCAATAGAAAATGTGAGAGTGGTTTTTGCTGGGAGTGAGAGGAGACAGGATGGCTCTTCTTTTTATTCTTTTCTCTAAGAATTCAGGCAGCAGCTTGCTGCCAGAGTCTGGTATAAGTCTTTTCCAGGTCAGGGTAAGGAAAAACCATTTATAATACAGCCTGTTATTTGGAGAAATAGGAGATTCTCCTCTTTTACTTGCATGTGTATGTGTGAGTTTCTTGTGAAGTGCAAGAAAGGTGTTATACATTTTCAGAGAGTCAAAGGCTTCAAGGAAAAGGTGACATTTAGCAGCGGAAGTACGGAAACTTCAGTGCCACTCTGCTAATCTCCCTTCACTAAATTTTCTCAATGTGACAAAATCCCTCATTTTCACTCTCTAGATTTTTTTTTTTACTTCTGTACTCTGATCTCCAAAAAGAAAAGTATTATGCCAGCCCCACTCAGTTTTTTTTTTTCCGTAAGGAGAGAATTCAAATTTGTCAACACTGGAAGGGATATAGATGCCCATTAGCTTAGTCTTACATCTTGTGGTCGGAGATATCCCACCCAGCGAGTAACTTGTCAGACAAAAATAAATACCGGTAAATGTAAACCAAAACATCTTAAACCACAACACAGCACTCGTAGCCTCAACTGAATCCAACATCTTTGATGCATTTCCATGCTTGAATCCCCTCTTAAATCGGACCGGTTTGCTGATGTTCATGCGTGTCTGACAAGCTGTCAGCTCACTGGGATATCTGTGACCACAGGATCTTTGGCCTGAGCTACCAGTGAGTTACAACTTTATGTCAAGAAATCTGAACTTTCTCTTCCAGGGATGGGACGAGTCTGCAGACTCGGGCTCGCAGCGACCTCAGCAGCTGCTTCCCCCGTTGCCCCCAGGCTGGGAAGAGAAGGTGGACAACCTGGGACGCACCTACTATGTCAACCACAACAAGCGCTCTACACAGTGGAAACGGCCCTCCAACATGTATGCCTGATTTCTCTACTCCCATTTTTAGTTTTAATAAATATTTTTACATTAGTTCAATGAGAAAATCTTTGTTACCCAATACTTTTATATTTTGGTAAATTTGTCTATTGCCTTTTTTTCATTGAGAGTTAATTGAGAAGGTCTTCACATCTAACTCTTGACAGGAATGTGAATAAGTGTAGTTCTCAAAACTGTTCTTTTAATAAAACATGCAATGGAGAAACAACAATAGCATGATAGACACATATAATGTATCCTCAACATATACTCAAATTCATTCTCCCTCCTCTGTTAGAATGAGCCAGTAAACATTAGAATGATGGGAGGTAGACTGTGGCCAAAAATGGCTTCTCTTATTTTACTGTAATACTACCTTACTTATCAATTTTGTGACTTGCTAACACTTTGCTTTGCATCAAATCGCTTGTACTCCTTCAGAGATGTGATTTCGGAGACTGAGAGTGACAATCAACAGCGGCAGATCAACCAGGAAGCACACCGAGTTTTCCGTTCAAGACGCCACATCAGTGAAGACTTGGAGAATGAGCACTTGGAGCCCAGGGACCTGGACAATGTGAGAGAAGAATATACACATACGTAAAGCATACACATACTCAGCCACAGCTATAACAAGAGATAAAATATGATTATTGATTCATGGCTGCGTCTGTTTGTTGCTGTAGTCCTGGGAGCTCATCACGGAAGAGGATCCTAACGACAGCATGACCCAGTCTCTACCTGGCCCCTCATCCGTCTTGACACCACAACACCCGCCGACACCCGTCACGCAGGAGTTCTCTGAAGATTTAAATTTGCGGCTGTCGCTCACTCCTGATACCAACGGCGAAGTGCCAGGTCCCAGCTCTGCTCTGGTGAGGCTTCAACAATGCAATTTGAAGTAGTCCCAACCCACACTCCACATTTAAATGACTGAATGGTGCAGTTGTAGTTAGTCTCGTTGATTACATTAGCAGTAATGTAAATAATTTTGTACATTACAGTTGCAGGCAGTGCTAGCAATAAAGTTTTTTTCTTCTTTCCCTCACTTACTTTTTTTTTTTTTTAACAGGGCCAGATGTCAAACAGACTCCGATCCTCAAGTATGACGGATGGTGTCAGTGATCAGGCCCAGGCCCCTCCTCTTATGGTACATATTTCCAAACCCCCACATTTACCTCCATCCTGCTCTCTTTCTTTTTAGACTTCCTCCCTTTCTTTGTTGCGTTGCTAGTAGTGTGTAGCATAGTGAACATCCTTTTCTTTGTTCTCTGAATGCCTTAAGCAGCCAGGCATTGTTGTCTCACTTACCTCCTGTCTGTTGGCATGCCTCAGTGCTGCGGGTGTACAATATTTTAAATCACCTTCTTTGCTCTTGCTTGCATTTCAGATTTTCACTTGTTCGTACTAGGCAGGTGTTGCTTCCTCGTCACCTTTTCCTTCCTGCTCACTATGCTTCTTCGATTTTACTGTTCTTCCTTTTGCCTTCTCGGCTCTGTAGGATAACCACACCTCTTCCTCCCCCTGCTCTCCCACCACTACTCTCTGCTCTGCGTGATTCACTCGCAACTATGTATGATGTATTGTTGAAATGTCGGCTTTACAGCTGTGTGCCAGCAGAATGACCATTCCAGTAGAAACCATTAGCAATTAAGATTAAGGACAGGAGCACATCAGATCAAACGTTCCCCAGAGATTTCAGAGTCATCACATCAGTTGAGATTCAGCTCAGCAAACCGTAACAAGATCTGAGTCAGATGTCTGTCACATAGCTGAGTCACAGCAGTGAGCTTGGCTCTGTCAAGCCAAGGAAAAGTACAGGTGCTGATGTCAGCCTTTCACTTGAATGGCAAGTCTCTAAGGACTGGACAACAGTAGGCTCATTAAGAAGCCACCAGAGGAAACCATATGTTTGGGAAGTTTCCTATAATTGTGTCAGTGCGAGGACTGATGGGAGGTTGGTTACAGTCACACAATTCCTAATGATATAAAATGTTTATGTAGGTGGAGGGGTGCTGTATGTGCCAACTAATGCATATGAGATTGCCTCTTGGATAAGTGTATCCTACACTTCTGATTAGAAGTTAGTTAACCTTAATGGATAAGGCTGGAATGATTCTATAGTTTTCCTGTAATATAAAAAGACTATAACCAATAATTTGTTAGTCTGTCACTCTACAGTACTTTCAGGAATTCCTGACCACTGAAGATGACAGTTTTATGGGTCACAAATATATTGTTTTTATAAAAAAAAAGGTAGTTTTTAGCAAGCTTGACCCAAACAGGTTGAAAGTACATTTGTTTCAGACTATTTTTAACCACGGATTAATACACATTTGGCGCTCCAGTGTGTATTTACGGAGCCAGCGCAAATATGGCTCATTGATGTGTTTTTAATAGTTTTTGAACAACGATGGATGCCTGCAGCACCAAGGAATAAGCTACTATATATCAGGCTTTTGCTACACGGACAATACTTGTTAGTATAATCAATTAATTGTTGGTTTTAGTCTTGGGATTTATATAGAATATTGTATAGAGTATCACCATACTTATCTTTTAAATAGGAGATTTTGGGTTGATTTAAAATTTGTCAAAATGGCTAAATGCAGATCATGTGTGACCATTTTTGATTTCTTTTAAGGTTTTGACATTAGAAATAACAATTGAGGTCGTTCTCTCTGCTGTTATAAGGCTGTTTACTTTTATAGGGTTGGTAGTGCGATGCAACAGTGGTGCTAGTAGTTTCTAACTGTCCAGGTTATGTAGTTTAGAATAAGCAGAACAACATCCAGCACGTCTTAAAGCACTGCTGGCTGAACTACACTGATATTGTTATCTTGCTTGTGGCAATGAAACTGCACTTTTTTGTGTGTTTATTTTTTTTCCACATTTGAGAATTTTCTTCCAGTTCTTGTTGGAGACTCAAACACTTTTTGTGAACTTTATTTGAACTTCAGCACAGTAATTCACTTTCACTGCTGTAAGCTTTCTAGGTCGCAGAGCTGTTTTCTCTTACTGGTGTTACTGTAGCTTTAATGTCATTTTCTACGTAGGTTGAGATTAAAGATGCTGCACTGGCTGGGGATTAAATTTACAGCCCAGAGAAAAGAATCTGTGTCTTCCCTCCTACAGGGAAATCTAAGCTGGATAACATCTACGGCTCAGACTGACTTTATTTTTCTCTTTGTCTTATTAAAGTTGATTTACTTTACTCAGAAGTTACAGCACACTAAAATCACGTCAACTAATCACAACTACAGCTAATTCCAAGTTAATTGTACTCCTTCCTGCTACCCATCAGCCTCACAGCTCGTATACTTCAGTGGGTTTCCTCTCTTTTTTTCTTCAATCACAGCCACCACACTTTCCCACCATGGCCCATAATCTCAAGAATCTCCTCCCTTTCTGTCACTCCTCACCTCCTTTGAAAGTTAATTCCCCCCTTTTTGTGCGTTCAGTGTTTCCTCACTCAACCTGCACTACTGCCCAAAGACTCTCGCTTGCCCCATTCCTTCCACCCTGGAAATGAAAACATTAACATACTGTGAACTAAAGACCTTCCCCTGTTGTCTACTATCAGCAGGGTTCCCAGACCAGAAGAACAAGAGCTCAAACTGTCTCAGGTGGTGAGGAGTCTATGGTAATATCTCAGTTTATATACAGATTAAACCCTATCAGTTGTACAACTATTAGTTCCCAGACACCATATAGGATAGGCCACATGTGTCCTGACTAGTTTTGTGAATAATCTTAATAAAAAAACTTTTGATAGGTAGAAAGCCACGTGAGGACTATCAGTCATTTATATTATGTTTAGTTTTTATGATATGACACTTAATGCATACAAAATATACAACAAACGTTCTTTCTGAAATAGACTGAAGACTTTGTGTAAACATTCATGAAAATGTACATCCTTGCTGGCGGGTGATTGATTTGTTCTCTAAAACAATCAGCTGATGAAGCTGAATAAATCCCTCTTTATTTAGTTTTTTTATTGGGTATGTTACAACATGCCGAAGAGCTTATTTAAATGAGCACTTGTCCCAAAGTTGCTGTGAATGTGGTATACATGAGTACGTGTGTGTGTGCGTGTGTCTCGACGTGGCACCATGTTAGTAAATATTAAGTACTGCCACTGATAACAAGCCATAAAGCAGCATTATAAAATGTGGCCAACAGGGACCATCAAGTTTTTTTTGTCCCTGATCCAGATCCGTGTCCTTTAATAATGGGTATCCAACTCAATATTTATAATTACTTAAATGTTGATTAAAGTATGTATCTAAGACATAATTTTGCACACATTATTTTTCACAAGGTAATTGATCCAAATACGGGAGGTCCTGGTTCAAAAATATCTCTGATGTCCAATGTTCAAGGGTGCTATCTTTGCTCTGTCATATCTAAAATATCACCACAGTAATGTTGTGATTGTTTGGTTAACTATTTCAGTAATTTTAATTCTGCAAATGGTTAATAGTTCACTCAGCGAAGTAGTAATGATCCACTAGTTTTCCCCATGTGGTGTTTATTTTAGTACTTCTCTGTGTTTGATTGGGTTTTGTGTGGGAAGGTTCACATCATACACAATCACCTTCTTTTCCATTAGAAATCTTTTGTCATAATTATACCTAAAATGTGTCTGTCACTGTGCTGCACAGCTGAAATGGGAAGAGATTTTAAAGCTGTTGTGTTCTTGATAGATTTTATGAAAAAAATATGTGGTATGTTGGAATAACTTGACTTTATTGAAAACATCAGTTTCTATCCACTTGTACGCACAATAATTTTGACTCCCTTTCCGTGCAGAATCATTTTAAAATACTAAAAGATTCCCTCCACATGTCTCTACGCATATCCGCCTGTACTGATGAGTTGTCTTTGCTTTGCTCTCTTTCTACACTTGGCCAGTCTCCCTCGGCGACTGCTTACACCTTGACCACCCCTGGCCTGCCCCCTGGATGGGAGGAGAGGAAGGACGGCAAGGGAAGAACTTATTACGTCAACCATAACAACCGCACCACTACCTGGACTAGACCAATTGTGCAGGTACAGAAGGCCTGAAGGCTGTCTGGACTCTAGGCATGGGACTGGATCTTACCCCGGCCCCTGTCATGGCCTAGGCCTGTTTTTTCGGACCTCTTCCTCTATTCCCCCATGTGTTTCTCCTCTGTGTAGCCATAAAGAATGACGGAAAGAGACACAGCTTTGCAACCTCAGAGTCTCTTTTTCTGTCTTTCTCTGTCCGGTTTCCAATTCTTTTCAACTTTATTCTATGTCTTTCTTCTCTTGTCTAGCATTTTGTTTGGTACTCTGGATGCAGTGCAACTCTTTATTGGTCACGCCTTTCTAAACCCTGGCATGGAAATGCAACCACCACTTTTCCCTCCCTTTTTCCCATTTCTGCCCTGTTTTTTCCACTTGTCTTCCCCTGTCTTTCTGTCTGCAACTGAGGCAGCTCCACATTGTCTGAGCTCAGGGAGAGACTGCTACATGGGACTGGGTGTATGTTTAATGCTCATGTCTCTCCTCTTTGAAATCCACCCTTTCATTTCTGCTTTTATCCGAACGCTGCAGGTTATATTATACTTGTTTGTGTGTTGTCTGTCATCACATAGTCTTTTCCGATTCTCATCTGTTTTTGTTGTTACTCAGAAGGAGAGGATACTGCAAATGATTTACATTGCAGTTTCATAGCAATGCTTTGTCTTTGGAACATAGTTGTGGCCCATCGTAAATGTAGGTTTTCCCATTGTAGTAGCCACTTGGGTTAGGGTTGTAAGAAACACTAACTTTCATCTTTCCAGTAGTTAATTAATAATTATGTTTTGGGTGACATAAATGATTGTCTTGGGCCTTTTTTTTGCTTTTGAGATTTTAGGAACTCATTTCCTAGCTTGCATCCAGACCTTTCTGGTGGCAGCATCTCTGGCAGCATCTCTGACCGCATGGCTAATGATGAGAACAAGTTTTGTTTTCGCGGAAACCGTTTGCCTTATTCAAAACGCCACCTAACCTTAAAAGTGCTATTCTTACTGACAGCTGACTGAAGACGGAGCCAGCACCTCAGCAGCAGCAGCAGCAACAGCGGCAGCGGCGTCAGGAGGAGCCTCGGCCCTGGCACCCGCACCCACCCCCTCCTCCTCTTCTACTGCCTCCAACAACCACCTCCATGAGCCCCAAGTCCGACGACCTCGTAGCCTCAGCTCCCCTACTGTCACCCTTTCCACCCCCTTGGAGGTGAGAATTAGCCACCTGTACCATCCCGCTCATACCCATATCCTTTTTCCTCTTTCCTTCAATCTTTGTCCTTCCACACTTTCTCGTCATGCAATTCTTCATTGTATCACCATTTCCATCCCTTCGAAGAAATCATGACCCTCACCCATCTACATCCAGCCAATCCTCAGTTTCTTTCTTTGATATTCCACCATTCTAATGTTATCTTTCCTTCTTTCAGGGTGACTCTTTCTTGATGCTGCTTTTCTCTCTTTTCATCCTTGCCAACCTTATGGAAATGTTAATGTCATCATTTAGCCAGTCTTCTCTTCGTATGTCTTTTCATCTCACCATTGCAGATGATTTTCTTTCTTCACACTGCTCTTTTTTTCATCTTCACTGGAGAATGAGCTGATGACTGAACGCTTAAACATCTCTCCCTTAAACCATGATTAGTCACGTGAAATGGTCTGATCTTCACTCCTTCTTTGTTATTCATGATGACGAGTTTGTTGTGAACAATATACACTCTTGGCAAACAGTCAGCATTTCATTCTGCAATAACACTAACAGAATAAAGCTGGTGTGGGAATTTCAGTTACTCCTTGATGAATCCATTATTTTAATTGATCACAGGTTCCAAATGCTAAAACAAACCCAGGCACATCCAAATCAATGATATTGATCTTGTAAATTAGATATAATTAAATGCAGAGGCCCTTTTAGTATCAAGACTGCCAAACAAAGCACATACAAACTTTGTTGGCTAGCATTTGAAGATTAATTTGTCAATACTTTTTAAAGAACATTACATGTTTTAAACGTATCCCTATTTAATACTCTCTGTTTGTGTCAGACACAAGAACTGGATGTTGTTTGTCTGGGGATATGAACTTCCACAATCAACACTTACAAAGACAGGGACATCAGACAGTAGACATTAGCTGTTACTTCGATGGAGCTGCAGTGTCTGATTCTATAACAAAAAAATTGAGAAAATTAACAGATATATAAATACATTCAGGGCTAAGTCATGTACCTGCAGTTGTTCTACTATAACATCATCACATATCTTAGTTAAGTAAGCTATGGAGGAAGCAGGCATCAGTGGAGGGCTTTTACTGTGAAGCAGATACTGTACATTTGAAGTGTTTAACTCAACCCATGTAGTGGACATACAAAATAAAAACAGCGGAACATTGTTAAACTACCCGAAATAATCACTGATCTTAAATAATCTGAATGTGAATTACCAGTAATGTAACATATGACTCTACAGGTAATCCTTCAGATTAACACTTTTGTTTTTAGGGTGTGGCATTGTACAAATCCCACCACCACTATTTCATTGCATCTTTCAGATTTCATGCTTTCACCGTGAATTTTTGGAATGTTATGTTATGTGTGTGAACGTGCGCTTGTTCTGACATTTTAGAAAACCTCGGATTTACTCATGTAATGTCAGAGAACATTTCTCATTTATGCAATACATTTAACTTTAAACTTTAAAGTTTGCAGTGCAGCTATAAATACGCCACACAAACTTGGCTAATTAGGATCAGCACAGTGTATCTTAAAAGGGACGGTCTGTTTTTGACCTACTGCATTTAATGGCTTTACTCTGGTGATGGTGCTATACCATGGGAACACTCCTGTAGGAGGTTTAATTAATGTGTGTGTGTGTGTCTGTGTTAACAAAGCATTGTGGAAGTAAAAGAAACACTCTCACTGCAGAATGTTGTAATTACAACTTCCACAGGAGGTGGGAGGTCTGTGGATTAATTAATGCAGTCTTTTCTCTCGTTAGAAATCAGATCAGTCAGTGATAATTGCTGCTAAAAGAATGATGTGATGTAAGAACACTCATTAGCATGAGAAACTTTACTCTGTTTAATGTTGCGTAAGAAACTTTTAAGGCGCCAGTAATGGTCGTTTTTCTATAGATACAGTTTCTGGAATAGTGGTATTATGTTGGGATTCATTTCTCTTTAAGCCTTGACCAAGGTCTACTATCTATTACCAGAAATAGATATATAAAGAGTTCTGGTAGTTTTACTGAAAATGATCCTATGTTTTTTCTTGGACTTTCACATTATCTTGTGAATACCAACGAAAAACTTGTTATTGTACCATTAAGCCCCAGAAGCAGTGTCCAGGGAATCAGTAAAATCTGAAATCTGTATAATCAAGTGTTGATGCGTTTTTCTGTTGTCATTTTGATTGATAACTTGACAGGCAGAGTATTCAACCTGGGTGCTAATGAGCTCCCTATTTGTTGATTTTTCCTAGATCTTTTCTAATCTTATTCAGTTTTCTAACAGAATACCAAGACAACTCTTGGAACACTGATTGTGTTTCAAAGGATCAGTGTTGAATTGTTTCAGTCATCCATATTCAGTTTCAAATTTAATTCTTTCCTTTTAGGAGTGATAATCTTACACTTTTTTTTTCCATTTGGGTTCCAGGGAGCCAACAACATCCAGGTGCGGAGGGCCGTAAAGGACACGTTCTCCAACCCGCAGTCTCCTCAGCCTTCCCCCTACAGCTCCCCCAAGTCACAGCACAAGACACAGCAGAGCTTCCTGCCCCCAGGCTGGGAGATGAGGATAGCTCCCAATGGACGGCCTTTCTTCATCGACCACAACAGCAGAACCACCACCTGGGTGAGCTAACACACCGTGGTAACAGGCTCGATTGTGCTTTAGGCTAAAAGGATTTTTGAAATATGAATAAAGGCTGATGCTTCATTTTACAAGTCTGCAATTCCAGTTTCCAGTTTTTCCAGTTTTTCCAGTTTCCATGATTGTGTGTGGTAATATTTATATGGAGAGTAAGAGACAGTTTCATTCCAATTATATTTTTGTTTAACCTTAGGGCACAGCATGTCTGCACAATGTCTGCCGAAAAGCTTGCAGCATATATAAAGATATATTAAGTTTCCAATTATAAATCGATAATGAATGAGCATTAACTTGGGTTTAAATTTCAGGGAAATTCCTGTCAAACCAAACAGCTGTGTAGAAACTCAACTCAAACAACTAAACTGATATAACCGTCTTATACCACCCATTTTAATTATAATTATTACCAATTAACATAGTTCTGCACAGGAAACTTCTTAGGACCCTGAAATAAAGTGTTAGCAAATGATGGCATCAAATTGAAAAGGGGTTATATTCTTTGTTGTACTAGGCACTAAAAATCTAGGGCAGTGGTAAGTGTCGATCTTCTAGGGTCTTTTAGTGACATCTGGTGGTTTAAGTTTATTTCACATTTACTTCAGTCCTTATTAGGATCAGTGAACTTTGGGAAGTTGTTATATTAGGAAGTGGTGTTTTTTATCCTTAAACCAGAGCAAATGTAAAATGTTGTTTTTACAGTTTAAAAAAATGTCTTCACCCTGTTTTGGAATCGTTCTTATGCATGTCTGTATCTCTTCCTTCTCTCCCTCCCTCTTTTGACAACCAGGAGGATCCCAGGTTGAAATATCCAGTCCATATGAGGAATAAGAACTCAATGGAGCCTGGCGACCTTGGTCCACTTCCTGTAAGTACAGTCACAACGAGACCAACTGCGTATTTAACCTGTGGCCCACAAAGCACGTTAATAACAACCTCATCGATCCCATTATTAGCTTTGTTGACCTATTCACAAGTGCTGTTACCAGGAAATATTATGTGTTCTAAATCGGTCTATTTAGATTACCATAACTGTACGGTAACCATTTTCCTAAGAAGGTATTTATTCAGCTTGGTGTACCATCAGTGAGTTTTCATAATTTATTGTGGTCTTTGTCTGCATGTCAACTTAAAAATCTTAACTCAGTGGGCCATGTTTAAATTTGAACTGTGTAAATAAAGTGGCTTTTGCAGTAGAATATGAGACATGATCATGCGAACAGGCAATTTTAGACATTTCCTTTTTAGTCCTGTTAGAAAAGAGGGAGAATGTAACTGGCGAGGATGAGAAAGCAGAGTCTGGGGGCTGTGACAATCCCTAATTAGGAGGTGGAGACTGTCTGTCACCTGCTCTGTTATCTGTACAAAGACAAACTCCAAACAAGTGGGCCAAACATTATCGTAGGTAGCTGTTGAATAATCAGAGCTTCATGGGTTTGTACATCTCACAGGCTTGTGTGGTGTGTGCATGTGTTCTTTCTCTCTCCCTCTTTCTCTTTCTCTTTTCTCTCCGTTCTGATGGATCTAATGTATGCTACTTCTTCTACACCTGGCCATGTCTGTTTGGCAGAACCTACCAGAGGAGGTTGGTTGGTGCCTCCCTCCCTCTGCCTGCCTTACCTACTTGTCTGGTTCTGGTCCGGTCTGGTCAAATGCCTGCGAGACAGCCTTGCGCTTTCTTTTTTGTGTTTGTTTTTTCCTCTCTCTCTCTCTTTCTATCTTTTCTCTTTCTCATGACCGGCATGGATGGACTGTACCTCTCCCCTCCTTTTCATCAGTATTTTTACACCACTTCCTCTCTCTGTGCGCCCTCCCCGCACCACCATCCCTTCTGTTAACGATTTAACATTTGGAGCTCCCCCACCATTCTCCTGGGATCCCTCAGACTGCTCCATGTCTGTGTAACCGTAACCGTATCAGTGTCTGAGGCACAGACAGACGAGTTGGGAAAGTGGAACGAGGCAAGATGCTCTGGCCATTTTGTTAGAGAGTGAAGGAGAATGAACACAAAGGCTTGAGGGAGGAGGACAGGGCTGAATATGGGGCAGTGGGGAGGGATGGATGTTTCAAGAGAAACCACAGAAGCAATACGTATGTTAGAGGAAGGAACTGGCTGTATGGCTGCATGTGTTTATCAGCTTTTCAATCTGATCTCTTCACTCATCAGTAGCAGCATACTTAGAAACACGCATAGGTACACCCTGTTTGACATATTGTCAGACTCGGTCCCTTTTCCCACCCCTTTACTCTCGATTTACTGTAATTTTTTTAATTGCCTGACTGCTGGGGCCGTACGAGTGTGTGCGTGTGTGTGGCCTATGACACTGTACTGAGTGTTCACCGTGTCAGTGGTGGTGTACTGGTTTGAACTAGTAGTGGTGATTTTACCTTTTTAATGTTGTGGTCGTATCCCTGCCTTGCTGATGTCTCGGACATGACTCAAATAGGAGAAAAAATCCTTTCAGTTCCTTTGTGATGTGTTTGATTGAGTTTGCCTCCCCTGCAGTGTTGGGCTGTCAGTGTTTGAACCATTTAATGGTCAGTCAAATTCAATCAAACACAAATTAAAAAAGGAAAAAAAAAAAGAGGATGGATTTAAATGACTATTTGAGCATGGTTTCTTTAATAGTGCTGTCTAATAGTGACTGTGTGCTTTTTCTCACTCTCGCTGTCTTTTTTTTATGCTCCTTTTCCAGCCTGGATGGGAAGAAAGAGTTCACTCAGACGGACGTACCTTCTACATTGACCACAGTAAGACAACTCTGTTTTACCACTTTCTGTCTCTGCTGTGCTTGTATTTGGTCATGCGTGTCTTACTTTATCTCTTGAGTTACTTTTTATAGTGTGCAGTGGGTGCAGTGCAGCCACAGATTTTTCAGTGTCAGAGACAGCAAAGCACCTCATCCATTACAGCAGAAACAGGAGTTGACAGGTCATGCTGTTTAAAATGTATTGCGTGATGACCTGCTGGAGTGCATTACTAAACTAAACTGAAAGATATATGGACATAAGAGTGGGAATTTGAACCATTATTAATTAATCTGTTGATTATTTCTTGGATAAACGGAGTAATTGTATAGGCTATAGAATGTTAGAAAATGGTAAAAAATTCCCGAACCCAACGACATTTAATTTAAATGATATAAAACAGAGAAAAGTAGCAAATCTTCACATTTCAGAGGCTGAAACCAGCAAATGTTTTGCGTAATATAATGACAGACTTCATGAAAGTCCTTGTGAATCCTATTGTTGCCTAATGAGTCTGTGTTGTTTGTTTCATCCAGATACAAAGAACACACAGTGGGAGGACCCTCGCCTTCAGAGTCCAGCTATCACAGGACCTGTGAGTAGTTTTCTCTAACAGAGTCTCTGCCACGGCATTGTTGCTACATGGAAACAACAAGTTCCTCTTTTAACATTGTGGTTCTATCTGTCACACACTATCATCAGCCTCAGTGTCTTTGTACGACAAAGATAAATCACTTTGTCCCTGCGCTTGTCACTTAACATGCCATCACCTTCATGTTTTTCTGTGTACCACTTCAGATATTGTTCTCCCTCATTGCCAACTCCCCTCGCCAACTTACACACTCTATGTAGTTTCTGGTGTTGTAACAGGAGATTGAAGCATATTTAGTTTTCCTGTTAAACCATTTACATCACAAGCTAAATGTTTATAAGGACATTGATCGTTTTTTGATAATTTATTTGATTAATGTCTGTGCAGGCTGTCCCCTATTCCAGAGAGTTCAAGCAGAAATACGACTACTTCAGGAAGAAGTTGAAGAAACCGGTAAGAAGTGATTTTTAAAATATAGATATCTCTATGTCTCAGGTTTCTGGGTTCTTGCTTTAACAATGCCAGGGTAATGGCATAAGCTAAATTTGGTCAAAACCTCACGGCTTCTCCTTGCACAGGAAGGCTCTAATTTGCATCTATTTTGATTGTCCTTGATTGCATAATTATTCAACTTTCTTCACATTTTCCTGACGCTGCGTGACTGAGTTTGATATTTTTACTGCATATTAAATATTCAGTGCAATCATTTCACACTTCATCATTTTTAACACTCCAGGAAGTCAAGGTTACTGCCCGTTTTTCTCCTAACTTACTTTAATGGGCTTGCAATCCATCCAGAAAGTTAATCAACCACCTAGACCTTTTCTGCATTTTGCGCTAGTACAAAATGAGTTCTGCAATCTCCATAGTAATTAATAAATAATAAATAATTAAAATAATGAAATAATGATTCCACACAGGTCCTGTTGTAAATGAGATAATAAGCACCTTTAGCAGCAGTTACACTTAGTGGTATTTTTTGACGAGTCTGAATCAGTTTGGTTTTGTACCATGGTCAGATATTTCCACCTTACCTAATAAAATGAAATAAAATATTTCCCGTATTTAACACGGTATTATTATTTTTTTTATTCCAGGCTGACATCCCCAACCGATTCGAGATGAAGTTACACAGGAACAACATCTTTGAAGAGTCGTACCGTCGAATCATGTCCCTAAAGAGGCCTGATGTTCTGAAAGCGCGGCTGTGGATTGAGTTTGAGTCAGAGAAAGGACTGGACTATGGTGGAGTGGCCAGAGAGTGGTTCTTCCTCTTATCTAAGGAGATGTTCAATCCTTACTACGGTCTGTTCGAATACTCTGCCACGTAAGTCTCCGATTGTTTGTGTGAGCTACCTTTATCTGAAGAAAGACACCCTTGAGGCATGTAACAGGATATGACACAGGACATAGTGTATTGCAAAGTTCGTGTAGTAAAGGAACCACAAAAATCCTTCCCTGCTCATATCTTTGGTTGTCTTTTTCCACAAAGTGAAGTAAGGGGCAGAGCTGCCGTATTGTTTCCCTATGAGACTTGTTAAAGTTTCCTTTTACTTTGATTAACTTTTCCTTTCATTTAAAAAAGCCTTCCTGGAACAAAAGTTTCCCACATACAGTACATGTTAAGATAATTAAAGGGTTGAATGATTCGTTCTGTTTCTTGGCACCATCATCAATAGATGACGACTCATGTAGGCAATGTAGGGCAAAGATCACACAAAATATATTGTAGCTAAATGCGTAGGCCACATGGTTGCAACTGTCAACCTTTGTTGCATGTCATACCCCCCTCTTTCACCCATTTCCTTTCTTCCTCTTCACTGTTGCTGTCTAATAAAGGTACAAAACAACAAGCCTGTCCTCCTCCAACAACAACAAACCTACTTAGCTTAGTTTGCCTGGTTTAATAAAACAAAAATCATTAAACCTTCAAACCATTGAAATTAAACCCCATTGTGATTGTTCATCATCACACCAACTTTAATAATTTAGGTTTAACATCGTCATGCAGCTGCAGTTAAATGAAAAGCTGATGCTCTTTTTGCTATTTGCAGGTGGAGCAACAGAGTCCATGTGCAGTTGAGCATCTAGTGACATAAAGTCCTATGAATATCATTAAAATAAATGTTTGGAGCACTTATGACAACTCAAGCTTTATTCAATTAGATCAAGAGGTAATTAATAATTTTATTAAATCAAGGGCTAAGTGTGTATGTTGACTTATCAAGCTTTCTGGACTTTCATCAAATTAATTTCCTTTTTTATCGCTTGCAGCTGCGAAAACCATTAGATTTTCAGTCAAGATATTATGTTTATTGACCTTTTTTAAGGAGAAATTAACCCACTGGTACTACTGACTGCTCTGTGCATTAAGGAATAGCCTGTAAATGAAACCATGGAAATAACTTTCGTGGTCTCGTCTTGTATCTCTACAGGGACAACTACACTCTCCAAATCAATCCCAACTCTGGCCTGTGCAACGAGGATCACCTCTCCTATTTCAAGTTCATCGGACGTGTGGCAGGAATGGCTGTGTTTCATGGAAAACTACTGGATGGTAACCTGCTGTTACTATGTGTATTTTCAAGATTGTCATGTGTTTGAACAATTAGGCAATGTTTATGTTGATGTTTGGGAACACACATACTGTTAAAGGGCAGTGCTGTTTTCTGCTTTCTTAGGTTTTTTCATACGACCCTTCTACAAGATGATGCTGGGAAAACAAATCTCCCTTAAAGACATGGAGTCTGTGGTAAGAAATCATTGCTGCTAAATTATTAACAGGATGAATTACTTTTTAATTATTCATTCTGGGCCACTGATTTTGGCACTGTAAAATAGTCTGTAATTTGTATTTAGTGCTTTTAATTTGCTTATGTATTTAAATTATTTTAACAGTTAGCATTTTTATTAACAGTTGAGCAGTCAGCACTGACCACAGGGTTTCTTGTTTGATTGGAATGGGTCTACATACGTGCAATTTTGAATGAGACCCTGCAATCTCACGAATAAAAGCCAATGAATGATTCAGTTTTCTTTGTGTCTAATTTTTATCTGCCCTGCCTTGTATCCCTGCAGGACAGTGAATACTACAACTCTCTTAAGTGGATTCTGGAGAATGATCCCACTGAGCTGGACCTGAGGTTTTGTATTGACGAGGACAACTTTGGACAGGTGCGCAGACTTCAGTCGGTCATTTTTAATCTGTTAAAATACACATTTTTAAGCGCAATAAAATAAGGTAGTTGGCTGTCAGGAGTTTCCTGGCCTTTACTTTTATTGTTTTTCTTTCTTAGACGTACCAGGTGGACCTGAAGCCCAGCGGCTCAGACATGGTGGTCACCAATGAGAACAAAAAAGAATACATAGAGTAAGGACATTATCAGTACTGTTCCACTTTCTTCATTCTTTGTCTTTTTATGAATAGTTACAGGCTTTTATCATCTCCTAAAACTTGTTTTTGTATTCATGTCTCGATAATCTTCCGTCTGGCAGCCTGGTCATCCAGTGGAGGTTTGTCAATCGGGTCCAGAAGCAGATGAACGCCTTCTTGGAGGTATTTATGTGCGATAATACAGTCGCCACTTGGGGGCAGTGTGAGCACAGACTTTGTGTTGGCGTGTCTGAGGCCCTCTGTTTTAAATTCAACCTCTTCTTTGAATATTTGTAGCTTTCAAAACTTAGTAACATCTCTGTTCATTAGTGGGATGTTCTGTAGGTATGTTACTTGACTTGAACGTTTATCAGAATTACATGTTCATTCCCTTTTTGTTTACTTTTCAGGGCTTCACTGAGCTCATTCTCATAGATCTGATCAAGATCTTTGATGAAAATGAACTTGAGGTATGGATTCTATAGCTTAAATCCTTACTTTTAATTGTTATATCTTTATCTTTAGAGTACTGTCTTGAGATGGAAAGTGGCAGTGACTGTAAATACTTTCTCTTCTCCCTCACCCTCTGTCTCTGCGTAGCTGCTCATGTGTGGTCTGGGTGACGTCGACGTCAACGACTGGAGACAACACACTGTTTACAAGAATGGCTACTGTCCCAACCATCCTGTTATACAGTGGTTCTGGAAGGTACGTCTGATACATCAACACATAGACGTCTAAATTAATGCAACAAAAACATGCACACGCACAACAGATTTTTGTGTACTGTGTAAAATCGTCAGCCACATGTTGCCTCATATTAGTCGTGGAAACAGGACGTTTCATAATAAACATTGGTTCCAGTCATCTTTTCCTCCATCCAACCTGCAACAGGTTTGTTGGCCTCGCTTTTGAAGATCAAAGTCTGTTTGGAAGAACAGGCTTGTTTGCTCTGATGAAAGAACCTAAAGTAGTACCTGCCCTGGTTATCATCTGTCTTGACTTGAGCTTTAACACACACAGTCACACACGCAAATACCCTCAGACAGCAAACAATACACACGAGCCATAATTTGTGTGTGTGTGTGTGTGTGTGTGTGTATACATGCTTACACACACTGACACACACACAACACAGACCACAGACCAGACCACAAGACACCAGAACCAAAGACAGACAGACAGACAAAAGTGTCACCTGATGAACTGGCTCAAACAGCTTCTGTTTGAATTTGTACCGTCACGTTTTTTCTTACACACACACACACAGATTGTAAAACTGTAAAATCTTTGCTGCTTTCAATAATGTAATCTTTTTGTGTATTGTAGTTGTGGATATATAATAATATAATATATATATATATATATTATATAAGTATTATATGAACTCTCTAAACTATGTAACTAAGTATTTTTCATTTTTCACTATGTCTCTTCAGGTTGTCCTGTTAATGGATGCTGAAAAGAGGATCCGACTCCTTCAGTTTGTTACGGGAACGTCGCGAGTACCCATGAATGGCTTTGCCGAGCTTTATGGTATGTTCACCAGATAACTTCAGGTTTCTTTTATTTCCCGCTTGTATAACTTGACCAGTTCTTTAAAGTCATATATTATCTGCTGAAACTACAGGTCCTGAGCTTTATGTAACAGTGACATAAAAAACGTTTTCTAAGAACAGATGAGTCAACAGTTGCAGTTCCAAGAATTTAATTACTATCACTGTACACATACAGATAAATAAATGACAAATGTTAGATTCTAGGCTTTTGATTTGAGGCTTTTTTTCCTACATGGCATTAGTAGAGAAAGAAGAAATAATTGTATGTGTATCTGTAGAATTATGCATGAGGCTTTAAATGCTTAAATATCTAAAAAGGACAATTATTTATATAAAATGCAATAATTACACAGATTCTCTTCTTCCTAGCAATAATTGAATCTTTTCATTTCACCCAGAGATCAACTGTGTCATCATAATTATTGTTTTTTTGTGCCAGGTTCTAATGGACCTCAGCTGTTCACAATTGAGCAGTGGGGAACACCAGATAAGTTGCCAAGAGCCCACACATGGTATGTTACTACTATATATACACACACACACACACACACACACACACATACACACAATAAGAGTCTACAGCCATGCTAGCAGCTTTGAGGCCAGACTTAGCACAACACAGCAGTCTTTGAGCTAAAGGCTAACATCAGTGTGCTCATAATGACAATGCCAGTATGCTAATGCTAAGCAGGTGTTATGTTTATAAATCTTAGTTTAACATGGTAACATACTAACAATTAGGCTGATGGGAATGTCAATTGTTAGCTGGTATTTGCTCATAAACCAAAGTATTGATCATGTTAAAAGTTTGCCCTGCTGGAGGCGCTAGAGGAACAGTAAGGGGATCACTAAAGTTATTCCAATACAACCTGAGGGGAACATAAATGTCTGTAACAGGTTTACAATAACATTTAATATTAGAGTTTAAAGCCACCAAGAGTCAATGTGATTCATCCGCTGGGGAACAGAAATGTCTGCACAAAATATCATTGCAGTCCTTCCAATAGCTGAGATACTTCAGTCTGGACCAAAGTCGACCAATTAACCGACAGATGCTAGCATGGTTTAAAATACTCAGTGGCTACCAATTAAATACCAATTTAAGTATAATTTTTATGTTATTTTCTTCCCAGTTTCAACCGCTTGGATCTGCCCACTTACGAATCATTTGAGGACCTGAGAGAGAAACTCCTCATGGCTGTGGAGAACGCGCAGGGCTTCGAGGGGGTTGACTAAATGGCGGCGTCTGACTGCATCCAACCAACCAACAATAAAAACAAACTAAACAAAAAGCCACAGGGATGTCGAACCAGCTGCTGTAGCAGTTCTGTGCGAGCATGTTGTCCTGTAATGCCCGACTGTGAACCACCTCCACAGCACGGTGGTTTGAGACTGTACAGCGATTTGTCGAGCCAATATGCCTACATCTTTATATCTTTTCAGTGCGGGTAGGCCACTTCTTTAAAGGTGCTGGGGAAAGAACGAGAGAGTCGCACCCTCGAATGCTGAAATCTATTATCCACAGGCATGAGCGATACATGACGAGAGCTGGCCCCCCTGATCTGCCGTTTCTTTCCCCTCTACCCTCGTCCTGTGAAAATCTACAGTGCTGGAAAACACTAATGCATTTCAATAGCTCCTTTATGTACACTATAGCACAGTATTCAAGCACCTTTCAATTGGAGGGTCTTAGCATGGCCTTAATCTGGCTCTTACATGCACTATCTCTCTAAGAAACTGCAATGGCACTATGATCACAACTCTCTCAAATCCTTAGACCAACACCGGATTACCTTAGGAATGCTAGCCAATCACATTTCAGGAAATCGGCCACACCCCTCCGTAGAGCCTTGTCTATATGTTGTGTGATCAGAAATCGCCACTGCAGCCTTTTGTAGAATAATGTTTTTCTTTTATTTTATAGCCACTGGTAAGGATTAAAGAATGGGGGATGAAATAAAGCCCCAAAGATGATTTTTATAGTTTTTGTCATCCTGGAACAAATTTCTTTTTTTTGTTTTGTTTTTTTAAATCATTGGTATAATTCTTGCAGGAAAATACTCTCAACGTATTTGTACTGATGAACAATGTTGTTTACTATTTTGACAATTCTATATGACATGGTGTGTGAAGTGTAAATCTGGCTAGTCTGGGAAATAAGTAATCCATATCATTTGTTACGGTGATAGCAAATGTGTTGAATAAAATGGTTTTTATTGTAGTGCTATGAAAGCAGCATGAAACTGTATCTTGTGTTCGCTTTGACTACATGGTAGTAATTTGGACGTGTAATCGCTCTCGAGGTCGAGAAGGGAAAACTAAAAACTGGTGATAGTTTCTCTGAGATGTTTGCATCATGATTATATTAATATTCTCATGCCTGTTGCTGTTCATAATGCTGTAAATTGTTCTTGGAAAAAAAACATTTTAAGTTCTTTCATGATATATAAATATATGTATGAACTACATTTAACAGAAGTATTACTGATCAACAACACTAAAATGAAGCTGTGTGCGTGCGTGGGTGTTTGAGAGAAAAGCTGTGATTGCCACTGAATATAAAGCAGCACGTTTCTTACAAAGAATTTTTTTTTTTTCTTTTTTATGTTTTTGTTTCTCTCTCCTTTTTCTAACACCATTGAACCTAAAGGGCACTTTATAGATCACTCTGAGGTCATGTCACCTGTTGTATGTCTTTTGTCATTAACTTGAATGTGATTCATTTTTTTTTTTCCATTCGGAGCACTTACCTGGTGCAATATAAATAGTCTGTAAATCTGGGCTGCTGCTAAGGTAGAAAAAGTTGACAGAAGTGAAGCAGAGACTTCACATCCTTTAGTATTCTCTATTTCCTCTCTTCTTTTCTCTACATTTTCCTTCCCTTGTGTTTCCTCCCCCCCGTGACCCCACTCTTCAAACTGACTCAGTAACGATTAGTCCTTTTTTAGAGGGTTTTCTTTTTTTAATGAATGATGGGAAATATCACTTTTGTTAAAAGATTCCACCTCTCTGCAACTCTTTGTGGTTCATTTAACTTCAGTCAAATAAAAATGAAACTTCTCAGTGTGTTGTTTGAGTGAATGTGAGTATGAATACTAATGAGGTAGAGACATAGTTACAAGAGCCATAAAAATATATCATAGATATATAGACTTACTGTCCAACAGTCCCACATAAACATTAAGTTTTACAAACCTAAAATTTAAAATCCCTCTTCACTGAATCAATGCAGTTCTGTAGTTTTTATTTTGTTTTCAATTCAGTTAAGTTTCAGTTAGTTTCCAGCTCAGTTTAGTTTTTATTGTTTTTAAAATGTTTTTTTCAGTTTCAGTGTTTGTGTTTCAGTTCTTTTATAATAATATGTGTGGTATTTGTCAGAATAGCTATCACAATACAAACACATTGACTTACAGTCATGTCGACGTCCCACTTTCAATAAACATAAGCACCAGTGCCTCCTCATGCTTGTGTTGACAAATTTGATCAAACTGAGACATTTACTATATATTCTTATTTTAGTTTTTGTAAGTATACTATATTGTTTCAGTTAATTTTTGTTTATTTCTCAAGTCTAGTTTTTCTATATACAACTATATATCAATCACTACTACTCCTGAGGAAAATATACTTTTTCCATCATTTATTTGACCATCATAGTCACTAGTTACTTGCTAAAACTTTCATTTAAATCTAATACATGAACATCTTGTAAATTAGGATGCATTCTTGTAGACAAACCTACCCAATTGTATGTCAAATATATAATATAAGCTTCACAGGCAGCTGAAAATACTGCTTCAGAAAGTCTGCTGCTGAGGGAAATTATGTTAGTTCATCCACATTATAAATTGATTTTTGAAATCCAGCCTTGTAACAGTTTCCTGATATCCAAATACCTGTCTTGAGACATTAGTGAGACTTAAAACTGTCCCTGTCTCTCTTTTTTTTCTGTGCGCACGTGGTGTGGTGAAGGGACCTCAGTTCATTCACACAATCACAATCTAGGAGTTATCAGCTCCAAGGACGAGCAAATAAAAGCCACCCTGCCAGTCCGGGGACATTTTATCAAGTCCTTCTACCCTCGATCTGGTCACAAACAAACCAAGAGCCAACTTCTAAAGCATTCCATCTGCTTGAAAAAAATGTCACCAAGTGCAAATGAGAATACATCTTAACATAACTCCTAATAACCATAAGAAAGCACAAAGACATTTCTTTAGTTTTCTGTTAAAGATAAGACAGTTTGGGTCTGTCAGTTTCTCACAGGCCTCCGTTGCTGTGTTATGTCACAGCTCTGACGTTAAAGAAACCCTGATGGCAAGTTAAAGCAATAACCTGAACCAAAAGTGGATATTGAAAACATTACATATTTTAGTAATTACTGTTAAGTCCTCTGTGAAGTGTTATGTGGGCAAACATGTAAAATATCATCATAAATATCATATTTTATACAAAAGAAATTAAACGCACCAGTATTATTAGGATATTTTACGATTGCTTTAGGTCAGTTTTCATCAATAGTTTCAATGAGCAAAACACTTAATAAAAAGAGCCAAATTAACTTTCTAAATTCTAATAAGATTTATCGTAGTGTGAAGTCAGACACTAGACTACATTATTTATATGTACAGTAACACAAAATATATTTACTAAATAAAATTAAAGTTGTCAAAAGTCACTGTCAAACTGACAGTGTTACTGCTATCCCAGTGTTACAACACTCCCCGTTCTTCCCCACCCCTGGTTGCGAATCACTGATTTAATATTCGGGCTTCAGAGGTTGAAAACTGAACAGAGTGACACATATCAGACCTCTAGTTAAAGAGATGCTATTTCCAGTGGTTAAATTCGGATTTGTTATTTTTAGAAGGCATCTGTGGTTTCAGGATTGCCATGTACATATATATACATAGACAACAAAATCTGACTGATATAATTTAAATTAAATAAAACGAGGTGAGACAAGGCATATAAGTTATTGTATCATTTTGTAAAATTGAAACATTGCTTCGTTGAAGACGTGTGAAATGAAGTGTCCCATGCTGACATGGAAGAGCGTAGGCCTGAGCCCAGGACAGCACCGGCCCAATTTAACCCCTGCTTATTTCATAATCTGCCCTAGGTGACAGGTATTATTATGAAACTGAACCTTGGAGTCATGGCATATCCATACCTATAGTTTAACTATTTTCTATCCACTACTTAGAATTTGGAGTGAATTTAAACTAAATAAGTCTTTGCTTTCAGATAAATACAGGAAACACATGAATAAAATGCATGTTGACTTTACAGCATTACTGACTTGCTTTTACTATATGAGTGTCTGATTCGTGCCTGCTGGTTGTGTTACCTTGCCTACTTTTTGGCCTCTCATATGCACCAAACTCCAGCTCTTATTACATTAATTAGATTGTTTTCTTTCAGGAACCATCACCTGTCAGTATATTACATTTGGCTCATGGTGTCTTTCAATGAAACATTGGTATTAAGACCCTGTTGCCTCACTGGGGCAGTTTTTTCTTTTTTTTGGTCTCCTCCTCCTCCACCCCTCACCCTATACCTCTGGTCAGGGTCGATCAATACTTCCCCTGTAGCTTATCACTAATGTGGAACTGGCTGTTTGTCCAAACCCTGCTCTGTCTACATAAAGACTTGGACGGGACAGCATCAAACCCAAATGCACCATATATCACCACATGAACCTGCAGCTCTGAAGGCACCACTGGACTTTTAACTGTTTGGAAAGACTTAGAGACAAAGATACGCCGGTGCAAGAGGGAAGCAGCAGAGAAAAAAGAGTAGCTGGAAGAATCAGAAGCAGGAGAGTGACCCCTGAGAATGAATAAATATAGAGAGAGGATCCACTTTAGAAACTTGAGGTGAGTTGGTTTTCCTGCAATAGGTTGGAATCTTATAATGATGTTTTAACTCACAGGTTTGTCTGTAAAGTTGCTAACTGATCAAATTTGATCAAATTTAACAGTTAGAAACAAACTTTTGGGGCCATTTTCAGCTCAGAAACATTATGTAATATAGTTAAAAGCAGAAACAAGATGTGTTGAATCTAGTGTAACACACAGTCTGAACCATCTCTATTTCTCAATAACATTTTAGAAAAATATATGGTTTTTTATAGGTTATTTTACTTTGTTGCTCACTCACACACTCTTATTCACACACACAAGCACACACAGCTGCAGGCATCCCCACAATCAGTAGAAAAAGACATGAGCGGACTTTGGTCAGTTGGATAACACTTTGTGTATTTACACAGCATTATTTACCCTATTTTCTGTTTTTCATTTGGGTTGTATTCCAGCATATTGGAAGGGAAAAAATTATAAATCTTAGCTCATTGTGAAAACGCCACAAACCAACATCATGTGTATTACATTATGTTTTATTTTCTCTACTTTCTGTTTTATCCATTGCTTTTTATTGATTCAACACGTCACCAAACTACTTTTTTTCCTTATTTCACCAGGTCGTCCGTCCACCAGTATGTATTAACAACCTCTCCGTCTGCAACATCTACAGTAAATGCTGTCCTCCAGAGCTGTGGAGTGTGACAATGGTGTTTGTGTCCTCTGTATCAAACGCCATTATCACACTAAATAGCTACAGTGTGAAAAGGACCTCAATATATTCCTCGATTTCCTGGTTTGCCTGATTGGGTTTTGTTTTTCTTTTGCCATTTGTTGGTTTTGTTGCTCCTTTTTCTTCTTCTGTCTTTTCTTTTTGCAAATTTTTAATAGTTTCCTGATTCATAAAGCCTGAAGCATGTCCTCATCTGCTGCTAGTGCCTATAGTTTGGAACACATGACACCACGCAGGAGGGGCAGAGATGAAAATAGATCTGCAGCGTGTTGATATGTCGTACATGATCTTGAGCCTCTGAGTGTGACCCACTTACTTTTGCGTTTGAGGCGCTAATTTGCTGCTGGAGACCTTAACCTGTAAATATAGATAAGAATAGATGGCCCATAGCTCATGCTGCTGCCAACTTTTTGCCAACAGGTCAGGCACTATGTTTTGTTGTATTTTTTGCACAATTGTCTTCATCCAAGCAAATAACGTGAATAAACAGTGTTTGTTTTTGTTTCTTGGTAAAGAGTGCACATTAGCAATTCCTCAGAATTAAAAAGACATAATGTTCACATTTTATAAATACCTTCAACCCCCAGTCCTATGGACGAAGAAAAACAGATATTGGCATATTTAAACAGACAGTGTCACAATCATGGTGCAATACCACCCCGTCTCTCAAACCTGTAGGTCAGAGGTCACATTACATTAATTGTGAGTTGATTTAACTTCATGAAAAAGAATTCAGAAAGCGTCTTCAACCAGCAACATCTCTTTAATAACAAAGATCTACTATTTGCATACACACTGGCTATAGCCGCAACCTGAGAGCCATGTCAGAAATGTGGGTCAGGGATTTAAACAGCAACAGTGAGAGCAGGACATAGAGGGTTATTATATATAGAGACGGTGTGAGACTGCAATTGAATTGATCCTGTGGGCTGTGTATGTAAGTAGATTTTGCTCTCAGGTTAGTCTGGTGCCATGACTGGGTTTAGTTTTACATGTCTGTCACTTAGTTTGAGCTAGTGCAGTATAGATCCTTAAAATTATGTCAGATATTCAAAAATAAATCTAACAAGCAGTATTGCCCCTTATAATAAAATGAAAAATCTATACATTTTCACATTTTAGTGAATACATTCAAAGGCATTAGCTTACTTAGCTTAATGTGTACAAAATAACTTTGTGTTGTTTCTGGGATATAAATATGCGCACATCTTAAATCAGTAGCTTTACTACATGAACAAACATTATAGTAATGTAACATTAAATTGAATATACGCCCATCAAATACCTCTGTCACCTTGCAAATAAATCATATTACCCACTCATACAGTGTAACTGAACCTTAAACAATATACATCCTCTACTGTGTCTATTTTATCATATAACCTACTTTAAAGACATTTCCTTTAATCAATTAATTAACAAATTCATTAATTTAATGAACTAATAGTTTGAAAACATCACAGAAGTAGAAAAACAAGAAAAACTGCATTGATATGTAAAGAAAATCATTGCATCAATAATAGCAATCTCTAAGACATCACAGTTCAACACTGTCGACAAACTCATCATTCTCATCATCATTTTCAAGTGTTTTGTCACAGTTTTCCTAAAACTAAATAAAGTTTCCTCCCTTAGATTAGAAATACTCATAGTTATACAGAAACCATCTCTGGTTAAATCTTAACATCTTAAAATAAATAAATCTCTCAAATGTTCAACATGAGATGAAGCAAAAACTGATTGCGCAACGATCGGTGTCCTCCATGATCTAGCCTGCCACAGCCCAGGACACTTTTCTGATTCCCCTTTGACAGGCCCAAACTCTGCATGATGAGGTCCAACGTAAGTGAAGCAAATCACCAAAAACCTCACCATTTCAATAAAAATGAAAGCCATAGTCCAAGATTCTCCTCATGTTATGACTTTCCCTTCACTGTTGGCCCAAATGTCTTCTTCTTAGGTGCAGCAGGGGGTTGAGGTTTGGGTTTCGGAGCAGATGCAGGCTTTTTAGCTTTGGGCTGCAGGGACTTGAGGCCCAGGAGCTCACAGTATTTGTTGCACTGGTGCAAGGCTTTGAACTGGTCAATGAAGGAGGTGGCACAGTTTCCTTTGAAGCCTTTATATCTAGAAAGAAGAAAAAAATGTTAATACATCAGTTTGCATGTATCTATAGTTTCCATCAATTATTGGTGTAAAAAAACAACACTCACCCTTTCTTGCAGGTGGCTATTCCCACATCAGTAAGCCTCATTCCCACTCCTGAAAACCACAAAAATCACACCAATATTTAGTGCTCTAAATTGTAATTTTAAGTTCAGATAAAACATGTATATTTGCACACATATCAAAATATCTAATTCCATGTTCTTCCAACCTTGCATGTCAGTAACCAGAAGGTTTCCCTCAGTCTTTTCGTAGACCCAGTGCTGGAAAGCACAACATTTCTGTCCTGCCTCCGAGTCACGTCTCATCAGGTTGATTTCTTTTCCGTCCTTGACTGAATACTTGACAAAGTCACCGATTAGCTCCTCCTCTAGTGTGGCATATGGGATGTCATTGGATGGGCGGTGAACCAGGTAGATGGGAATGATCCTACGCAAGAAATAAAATAATTGAAGTTATGAGCTTTTTACATTATTCTATGAAGGCAGATGTGCTGCAGAGTTATGTTGGGCATTAAGTTTACAGTTTGTCGTATGTGTCACTCACTCTGGGATCTTTCCGAAGGCTTCAACAGACTGGGCCGCAGTGGTGTATGCCTTGATGTACTCTCTTGCTGTGTTCTGCACCTGGCACTCCTACAGAGTAAGAAGTAATTTACAATACTTTAAGTTTTAGAAGATCTCTGCACATAATGGTGGAAAGATAGTGATAAAAGACATCTCATAAAAGCTTTAAAAAAAGATTGTGTTTGCTGTGTTTTTGTAAAAGGCACTTTGACTCAGAACTGAATGAGTGACATATTAACACAAAACTAGATGGCCCCAAGTGTCACATTTTACATTCTACAGTATGTACATTTTGGAGCACAAATGCTGATACTTTCTATGCAAATTAATAAAAGGCATTTTAGTGGCACTTTTTGAGCCATACATGCAATTTTATTTAATGAATTTGAATTTTAAATCAACATCTTGCACAACATGTCAGAAAAAAACATCCTGTCCTGTTCCTTAGGTTAATGTGCTAACAATATTTTACAATTTTACAATATTGTTACAATTATATTTGAATTATTTATTACATTTAATACATAATTTGTGGTAGAAAAGGTGTTCTGTGGTATGTAATGTGGTACCCAAACAGGACTTTAATGAACATAATCCAATTATACTTTGAGCTATGAAGGACTGCAGGCCTAACATCAGAGTCCTATGACGTTCTCACCTCTACAGCCAAGGTAAAGTTCTTCTGAACAAGCTCGTCGTTGTTCTTGGTCCCGTAGCTGATAGAATTGTGTACTTTGAGCACACAAGAGTGTCCAGGTAGTAACAGGGGTATCTGACCCACTTGCAGCTTGGTCCGGAAAGCCCGCCGGTGCATCCCCTCCCCAAAGTGGACCTTTTCAGTGAGGATGCTGACAGGTTGGTTCTCTCCAAAGTATTGGTCAGATAGGAAATCCTCTTTGAACATCAGCCTGGAACACTTGACATCCTCCTCTTCACTCCCCATCTCTACAGGGGCAGCTAGAAAAAAGAAAATATCCTCTGTTATCTGTCAAAATCCCCCCAAAAAAACAAAAACTATGTGATGTAAAGTTACAAACAAACTCACATGATACGGTCTTCAGAGATGGAGGGATCACAATTTCACTGAGCACTGTAAAATAGGTCAATAAATGCAGTTTGTAAGTACATTTTGTTACATATTATATATGATACATATTGCTTGTCCATGTTTAAGATAGTTCTTAATGTTAAATCATGTTTTATACCTTCATATGTGAGCAGGTAGTCCAGGGTGACTGATCCGTGTAAACTGGTGAGCCGACACTCGTACTTGCCCAAGTCTTTGTGAGAAGCGTTGGAGATGTTCAGTGACACTCTGCTCTCGTCCCCTGCACTTCAGAGAGAGGGATAGTGTTACAAAATGCAAAAGATAATGGCTAAACAGTTGGATAGTTAGCTAAAAGTAGTGGAGAAACAGTTGAATTAGCTAAAAGTAGGCTTATGGATAAACAGCTAAAAGTAAAGGGTGGTCAAAATAGCTAACTTACTTGACCAAACTGGCCTAAAAATATGCAGTTTATTTGTATGAAATCATTGTAACAATGCACACATCCATTATTTAATCTATTGAAATTAAAACATTTGAAATATGACTGGTGGTATCAATGAAGGATTTTAGTTCATCTGTAAGGGGCTGTGGGGGTATACCAGACAGAAAAGGTAAAGATTCACTGCATATCACTTAAACTAAAGGAGCATATAGTTGCCAAAGATCATATAGTCATGGAGTATGTGGTAGTCACTGGTAAGTACTATAGAAGACTAGTACTAGGTACTATAGTAGAGTTATATGAAAGTATTGAGTAAAGATGAGGGTAAAATTGAAGAAGATACATGTACATGTAATAAAATAAAATACCTTCTCTTGATCTCAGAAAGGACAGTGCCGTCTCGGCCCCAGGTGACAGTGTGGTGGGAGAAGACAGCCGCAAACTGACACCACAGGCACAGACTCTGGGGGTCCCCACTCACTGCCACTGCTTGGATAGGCTTCACCACCTTTGGCTCTGCAGACGTGATCATATGCTTTTATTATGAGGTGAATAATGTATGTTTATATATCATCATGCAGGAGAACAGTTGGATATCTGCTCTTGTGTTGATAATGTGTCACAGAAGAGTGCTTAGGAGAAAAATGGTGTAATGTACATTCCTTACCTTCCTTAGGTGGGATTTTCTGTTTGACTACTTCACTGTATGCCTTCTTCCGAGTTTCCCCGGCATCTACCTTGGGCTCCTCTCCCTTGGTCTGGATAGAAACGTCTGGCTTGGGTAGTTTAGACTCCAAAACACTGACAATCTTCCCAAACTTATCCTCTGACAGGCGTCTTCTTTTAATAATATCATCATTCAGAGGACTGGTGCAGTTTTTTGATTGGTGGTCTTTATGATCCGTCTTATTCTGAACTTGTTCTCCCTGGGAAGCTTTAGCCTCTGGTTGCTGGGACTTTTTCTCAGTACCATGGGATTGATCACTGTCCTTTTGAGCTTTCCCAGCTTTAGCACCCAGGGTGGCCTCAAACATCTCAATCCTTCCTTTTGCAGTCTTTGGTTTTGCTCCATTTTCCACTTCAACCAATGGCTCCCCTACACTTTTAACTCCTGTTACATTCTGAGCATGTTTCTTTTTCTTCTTGCCATGTGGCTTGCTTGGAGCCTTCTCAGTCGCCACACCAGTCTCAATCACCAATTTAGCCTCCTTGTCCTCAAGCCCAGCTGGAGTGTTCTCACTAGTATGATTTTCTCCAGTAAGAGGGTGATTTTCTTGCTGTTTGCAGACCTGCTGACCTAAAACATGGTGAGATAAATTCTCTTGTTTCTTGAAAGCTTGTGCACCATGGTGATGACTGGCTGATTTGTCCTTTTTAGAGCGTGTTTTGACCTCTGAGGTGGACTTCTGGGTTTTGTGAGGCATCCTTTCAGCTGTTTTCTGATTAAACTTAGATTGTACGACTGTGGCGATGGGTCTTGCAGCCCTGGAGACAAATGGGTCCTTTAAATCTAAAGTGATGAATGCAACGCGGTTCTTCTCTGAGATGATGAATTGATCTGCAGGGACAGCAGCCAAGTTCGACAGTTCTCTACTGAGATCATTAATCTCCTCAATTACTGTTTTTTTTGCAGTGAAGAAACACTCTGCAGTATCTAAGTCCAGTTGTCTCTCTGGTGAAGATTTATCAGTGGACTCTAGTGTATTTTCCTTTTTATGAATCAACTCTTCAACACCTTCCAAATATGGTTTGTCTGTAATCCCATCCGAGGTTGGCCAGAGAATGCAAGGTTGTATGTGATCACAACTGAGGTCCCTGTTGTTATTGAAAGACCTTTTGGCACAAGTTTGATCTCCTTCCAAACTGTTGTTTGTCTGACAGATGAAGGAGGAGCTAAGAGGAGCTAAGGGCATAATAAACTTGGGACTTCCCCACTGTGGCTCCAACTGACAGGCTCCGTCAAGGTCTGGTAAAGTGTCAGACTTTGTGCAGTGTGAGTTTGTCAGTGTGTGAGTGGTGAGGAAAAAAAGATTTGTTGAAGATTCTGTTCCTTCACGGTCAACCCCAGCGGGCCCACAGCTCCTTTTAGCTTCCTGATTGGCCACCCAGCCCGGCTGGGAGATGCTGTGCTCATCTGTCACTTCACACAGTCCATCTGCAAAGGGCTGATAAAGAAAATGGATAAATATTAATTAAAATGTGAGATTATTTTAAGAAACTGAGAATGAGATATTTATTAGAATATTAGAAGAATTTTGCCTTGTACACTCAAGTATAAGTCAGACTCCACCAAGACTAAAATATAATAGTATATTTGTAGTATTATTAATTATTATTTTTAAAGCGCTGGCATAAATATCACTAAACAGGTAAATATTTTACAGACAGCTAGAAGGTAACAAAAACATGCCATTTCAGATCCTTATATGTTTTCTGTTCAACACATACCGTGCTATAGAGCCACAAAGCAGAAGTTTATGAAACACCATACTCCTAGATCCAATCCCACAGTCCATATGTCCTGTATGCAACTGAACCCTGCACTGTCTCTGTTATAGACAGGAGCTCCAGCTATGCCTTGTGCACCTAAGCCAATCAAAAGCAGTCTCCTGGACCCACGGACCTGTTGGCACCGATGCGGTGGGAATGGGGTGTGTTAAAGGGCGCATATGAAAAGAGAGATAGAGCAAAGGAGAGTCATGTTTCAGTCCTCAGCTGTGCTCTCCTCTCACCCCTCCACCCTGACACGCCACGGATGCATGCTATTATCATTGAACTCTCAGCTATTATTAGATGCCATTTCTGTCCATCTGAAGTTCTCCTCTCAGGCACTCTCATTTCCTTTAGCACACGCAGCTGTCAGTCTTTGAGATGGGAGCCAAAGGATTTATCCAATAATACAGAATTGAGCATGGGTGACAGTCCTTGGGTGCAAAATGAATGGCTCCAATCCAAAGCAAGCGTGGATTTCACTCTCAGGACTACTCTACGCACCTCCTGACTGGCTATCAATACTGTAGGTATGACAACACTGACAAGGGCAGGAGCGGGAATGTCTCTTAACGTTCTGGTCATGTTTCCAAATCGCATGACAGGTTTATCTGTTGGCCAGCACCACTGATGTGAAGGTGATCGCTGTTATTTTCTCTGTCGTGAAGGGTGAATCTTTCCACTACTCTCTCTCTCTCTCTCTCTCTCTCTCTCTCTCTCTGCACCACACACTTCAGAGAAGGTGGTGTGTGTTTAGAAGTGTGTGAGCAAGCACGTGTGTGTGTCTATATGTGTGGGACTAACACATAGGAAGGAAATATACCTTCCCCCACATTTAGTTGTGAAATATCTACTCATATTTCATGCTTTTTGCACAAACTTTCCACCCGTCCAACACTTTTCTGAATTTTACAAGATACAATTCTAAAGACAATAATGAATATAGATCTATATTTCTAAGTCATCTTACCTCATTGATTGTTAGCTCTGCATATGCGTTTTGTCCCTCCAAATCTGTATCCTCAACTATATTCAGTATGATTTGATCTTCCTCATTGCTGTAGAAATTGTCTGCCTCAAAGGACTCGACAAATCCACCAAAGTGAGAATGGCCTAGACCAGCGGAAGAAGTAGATCGGGGGATCACACCAACACCGTATCCTCCAGGAGAGGCCACCGTAGCACCGGATGATCCCATGGATGAGTGCTGCTGTGTGGGGTGCAGAGAGTGCTCAGCCTGGCTGCTGAGGATTTCTTCTGGCTCCTTTTCTGCTTGTGTGGAAGGTGTTGAATCACACAGGGATTCAACACTCGAGAGACGGCTCTGCCCTGAGAGGACAGAGCTCTCTGGGATGTTTTGTGCCTTTAGAGGCTGATCCTGGACACCCATGAGCGATGGCTGTGATTGTGCCTGTACTGCTGCCTCTTTATCCTCTCCTTCTTTAGATCTCTCTGTATCTATATGAGTGTTTACCCCTGCTAGTGCCTGTGTCAAAGCATCTATCTCGGCCCCTATCTCTGTGAAAGCAGCTGTGAAGTCCTCTGGTGGAGCCGCGATGATCCCAGTCCAGTCTGAGAGAGCGCTTGCCCAGCTGTCCACTGACGACCATCTCTCAACCGGTGGCCCCCAACTTCCAGTGTCATCACCGGACCAGCCAATCACTTCACTACCATCAGGGTTGTAACATGACACTTGTGTCTCTCCTGTGGGAAAAGACAAGTCACCGTTGGCCGAGAGCCCTCCTTGCATCACAGAATGACCTGTCTTGTCCCAAACATCCCTATCTTCTGTATCTTCACCTGCCAGATACTGGCATGCATCCAGCCATAGTTCGATGGGGCTGTCACTGCGCCGTGGTTGGGGGGTTAAATCAGTGACCTCTGCTTTCCCTCGTCTAGCATCATTTACTGACATTAAGCCTGCCTCGCAGGCATTCACAGCAGGTGGTCTTAGTCTTGTGGGTTGGCTCACGTCAGACTCATAGTCCACCATAGCTCGTTCCTCACTGGAGCCGTGATGACATTGTGTCACCACATTTTCTGAATCACACATCAGTAACTGTGAATTGCAGTCAGGGTCTGACTTTTTTCCCCCTGTTTGTGATAATGGCTGGTATTCAGGACATTTAATCTCCTCTGGATCAACATTAGGGCTAAGTATGAAGTCATGTGTGTCACTTTCAAAGATATAAAGGTCTGACACAGGTGCTATAGCTGTATCACTCTCTAAACTATCTGACTGATGTGATAATGAACTTAATAGATAAGTTGCTTGACTGTCTTTAGAACTGAAGCTGTGACTATAGATGGGCTCAGTGACAGATGGCTCCATCAAAGGTTGAGGTGTGCTATTTTCTTGTATGGGAGAAAAACAGAGGGCTGGTTCTTGTTTAAAGTAAAACTCTGAAAAAGATTCAGATAGAGGGGAAATAAGGTTATGAGAGATGTGAGGTAAAAGAGGTTCTGATGAGCCAAAATATCTAAAAACCCTGAAATCTTCATCCATTAAGGAAGGCTCTGAACAAAGTGACAAACACTCTGACATATTATAGCTGGATGACGAAGGCTTCAGACAGTCTGAGTCAGTGCTTTTCTCCTGAGAGAGGCATTCGGGAACGTTTGATAAAGTCTTGGTTGATTTGTCAGTGGGGTCTGACACAGTCTCTGCTCCTGTCTCGTATGCAGACAGCGTGCTTTCTGTGGGACTGTGCAGAACAGAGAGAGACTCTAGATCCCCTGTTTGACTGTCTGTAAGAGCTGGTGGTGACCGTGTTTGGTCTACCGTGCAAAGGAGTGACATATCCATGGGGACTTCTAGTGGTAGGAGGTTGTCAGCAGCGAGGATTTGGCTGTCAAACAGCAACTTCAAGCCAAGTTTTGGGACGAATGGCACAAAGTTCTATGCACACATTATTTGTACCTGGCTTTTCAGGTGTCATTACCTCCCCTGGGTCCAAGTGCATTCTTGTGCTTTTAGATTCTTTACCTGCAAAGTGAAGCATGACATCGCAAGAGAATTAAAACATTTCACAGTTAAACTGCAAAACTGGAAAAAAAGATCTAAAGCTCATGTGTATGTTTACGTCCTCGATTGGAAGTATTTGAAGTAAGGCACACTATCTCCCTCTAGCTGTTTATCTTAGTTAAGGAAATACCCATTTAAATGGCATGTTGCATATATTTTAGAAGCTTTTAAAGGACACTTGACATACCTTATCACCTTCCTGTTGTTGTTACTGTGTAGCTGATAAAAGTGTCTGGTGTGTTTGTGTGGTGTCTGTGTTGTCACCAGCTGCAGACTAGACTCCAAATTCTATTATCTGGCACAACTGACGTGTAGTAGGCTAAAGCATGCACTGTCTACATGATCAAAATACAGTATTATCATGTGGAATGATGTGTGTTAGACAGTGTGCGATTTATTAACAGCTGTTGTTGAACTTTTGCACAATGCTGTCCAATCCTTAATAGCTAGGTACCAGACAAGACGCACCAAAATATCAGAAGCCCTTAGAGCTGCGAGTATTTACATATTAAAATAATTCTGAAGAATCTCTGGTATTACTCATTAGGTCAAAGTGCCTACATTAGGCCAGTCCAGTTTCAGCGTTTTTGCTGCAAAATTATGAATGTTGCTCTTTTATTTGCCTTAAGTTGAAAATACAGTAAAATTTCAGATATAACGATGTTAATTCTTATAATCTAATATTCTATCTAATATAATATTAGATAGAATATAATATAATATCTCTATCTAATATTCATGGCATTCCAAACTTTATAATTTGGTAATAGATATTGAATGTTGTTTTTATGTGTAGTTCTAAGTAATTATAGTGTTACACTGGGGGAGTTAAAAAAATCCTAAAATGTTGGTCATAACAACGACAATACACCTGACCTATATTAAAATCCTATTACCAGTGTTGCCCACTACCTGAGGTATTTGCAGAGGCTTGATATGAAGTGTTGAAAGGGGAGGCTTCAAAACATGCACCCTGATATACAAGATTGCGGGAGGGGAACTGGTGGCACATTCACTGGAAAAATACCAGTACATCTTCAACCATGACCTGCATTTGTCACATTCCTGCTGCAGTGAAGGACACCTAGCCTCAAGCCTCAAATGTTTACTACGAAAACAGATCCTAGTTTAAGTCTATTGACAAACACATTGAATACAAACTAATTTCACTCAATTTTCTGGCTGCAAAAACATAAAAAAATTTCATTTTAGAGTTAATAGTCACTGAACTAATGTTATAAACACAATGTCTATAGCATCCTGTACTCTTAACACTGCTAAAGATAGATTTATGTTACCTTAAATTAATTTGTTGTTTCAATCATATTTTGTACACAGACTCCATATTTAGATCACGTGCATGCTACTAGTCCATATCAGAGTTGTGACATACTCTAAGAGACACTTTGAATTTTTAAATTGAACAAAAAATTATCTTGTTGGTATGCTTGATTAGCACACATAGATCTGTACTGACATTAAAAAACAATAAAGCTGTCATCACATGCGTGACTGAGAGCAAGAAAGTGTAATTTGATGTCATCTTGACTCTCTGTGCCAAAATAGATCCACCCTCAGTCACACAACACCCCCAAGAGCCTGCTGCATCTTTAAAGCTTCTGTATGTGAACGACTCACTTGAAATACCAAATAAGTACATCTAAACCGTTTTGAAAACAACACTATCTGCCTCAAAATGTAATACTTTCTCAACACTCACTGCTGCAAATGACCAGGGTGAAAACACAACAAGTATTTGTCAAAATTCATTACACGTGTAAATCATGTGGAATTAATTCTGATGCTTTACAGAGTGAATCACGAGTGTCATGCAACACAGCAGAGTGTGTATGTGTGTGTGTGTGTGTGTGTTTGTGTTTGTGTGTGCGTGTGCGTGCATGTCAACCCATCATCAGTGTTGTAAGCATCAAAGCAGTGGGATTGACAACATTTACCATGCCCAAAGAAAATAAAACCACCAACATATGTCAAACAAGTTAGCTCATAACTGAATCACACATAATAAAAGTAGTATTATTACTCGAGGTATTAGTACAGTTGTCATAGCCTATGAAGGGGATTTTCAGCCATGCATGTAGTACGTACCTTTTTCATAGCCGTGTGGTTGAAGATATAGACCTATGATGTAGGACTTCAGTATAAGCTCAGGCAGAGCCAGCAGTCTTGGGGTGTGAGTCTATTTTTAACAGTTGCCCCCCTCAAGTACAAAGTCAGTTACCTGATATTGTGGACATGTGCCGATCTTGAACATTTAACACTTGATATCTATATTTATTACAGGCTCTTTCAGTATGGGCGTATTTTACAGACTGATTTTGATTTGTGGATGTTATTGATGTGTAATTGAGGAAAGTTTTTGACTCTTGCCAGGAAGAGAAATACTGAAAAACGATACTGAAAAACGAGCACGCACTGGAGTAATAATTTTGGTTTAGATAGGGAGTTTTTTCACCATTTGATATCCTGCAGAGGGAAAAACAAGTATATATTTCACTCCTTTCTGTCCACCTCAGTCCAGAAGGGTAATTGTTTCATGAAGTTAAAAGAATAAAGAGAAAATAGAACAAAACTGCTGATACTCTTTTGAACATGAGCCAATCTTTTAGATAAAAGGTTTATTTTTCCAAAGAAGTGATCTACTAATTCTCTGAGGGCTTGTAAGCTTGTGCATTATATTTTGTGTGAAAATAATTTATTCTTATCCACTTACATTCATTAAGTGTAAACAAGAAAATAGATTAAAAAAATAAGTATATATTTTAGTCTTTTTACACTACATAATGTATAACAAAGAAAGTTTTCCTTCTGATATAAACGTGTTTACACTGCACCCGTGACATTCAGGGTCACATGTCTGGCAACATTAACAACCCCTTTAATTACTCTGGTAAAGCAACAATGCACTGTTGTGAGTGGCCAAAACAACATAATGAGACCAGACCTTTCTTGGCTTCTATGGAAAATTATAAGTAGTCAATTATCTCAGCCTAGCGTGACAGTGATTAAATGTGACTTTGTCTCTCATTTAGCCAAATTACTTATCTCATAAGCAGTGAACACAAACGATTAGTAATCGTGTAATGACATAAATGGCAGGTCAGTTTCCAATAATTTGAAGAGGACAACAATTTAGTTGGAAAGTGATGATGATTCTGTATTCATGGTGTCTGTTGTTTGTATTCAAAAGCATGAAACATTTATGATTTTAAGTTCAATATCCATAGATACTTTATAGGAAAATGGATGTGCTTGAAGTGGAGTCACATGAGATTTAAAGTAATAGTTTCACATTTCACAGAGAAGCGTGACTATAATGACAAGACTGCAGAAAGTCATGAAATAGTCCAATATAATGTGTTCATTCGTGCTTTGGAGGGTGGACAATGCCAGACTAGCTGTTTCCACCTTTTTCCAGCCTTTATGCTAAGCTAAGCTAAGCTAAGCAACTACTAGCTGCAGCCTTATATTGAAGGGACAAATATGAGAGTGGTATTCTCATCTTATTCTTGGCAAGAAAGTAAAAGTAGGTTGTTCAGGTGTCTACAGAGTTGGATATAAACATTGTCTGACTTATTACATCTCTTGTTACACATTTCTTTTTAAAACACAGCTCATGTCCGTTGCATGTAATTAGACATTTGCATGAAAATGTACTACTTGAAGTCTGTGTAATCCTTATAGGGGAATTTTCTCAAGATCATAGCATTTTCATAGTCCTTGTTACTTCATCCCATGCTCTTATCCTGCTGCTTGACAATATTTAATAGCTTATTCCTGCTGTAAATTTCCTATAGGCTATATTACTGCCTTTGACTTTATTTATTGCAGTTCTCTTCCTCCTTTTGTTTGTGTTTCCCCAAACCAGGCAGTCGCCGTCTCCAGGCATCCACATCCTTATGTCACAGCAGTTTTCCCTATTGTGCTTTTGATGCTTAATAAAAAAAATGTTTTACACTTGAAAAACCTCAGGTCCTCTTTTAATGGTATTAAACATTGTTTCAGGGTTGTTTACTTCCCTGTATATCTTTCCGAAAACTGCTTACTAAATATTGCTTCATAATGATGTAAATAGGTGAAGGACAGTTTTATTTTTGTTACCAACAGTAATTTATGGCTGTTACATAATTTCTTCTGTGACAGGTGAGGGAAGCAGATTCTTTTACTGCTTTAAAATCACCACGTTGTAAATAGTGGTTTAACAACAGGTTTAGCAACGGAGGCCCTCCAATAAAACAGCCATGACTCAAGTGTTATTTTTTTTAAAGAATGAAGAGAATATATTATTTATCAGAATCAGAATCAAAATCAGAATCAGAATTTTGTTTATTGCCAAGTAGGTTTTTACGCCTACGAGG